TTCTGTCCTTTTTTAATGACAAACCTTCTCTGGGACTCCTTCTGTTGTTTTTCTTTATGAATGTGAAACAATCCCAGGAGCCCTTTCTGTCCTATTTTAATGCGAAACCTTCTTTGAGACTCCTTCTGTTTTTTTTTAAATAAGAGTCCTTTCTGTCTTTTTTCTTTAAAGAGTAAGCTTAGCTTCTTAGGGACTCCTGCTTTTTTTTAAAGAATGTCCCTACTGCCTTTTCCTTATGAATATGAAACAATCTCAGGAGTCCTTTCTGTCTTTTCTTTAATGGGTAAGCATCTCTGGAACTTCTACTTTTTTTTAAAGAATATGAATCATTCTCGGGGGTCCCTACTGTCTCTTTCTTATGAATATGAAACAATCTAAGGAGTTCTTTCTGTCCTTTCTTTTTAATGAGAAAGCTTCTCTGGGACTCCTGTTGTTTTTTTAAAAATGTAAAACAATCTCAGGAGTCCTTTCTGTCTTTTCTTTAATGGGCAAGCTTCTCTGGAACTTCTACTTTTTTTAAAGAATGTGAACCATTCTCGGGAGTCCCTACTGTCTTTTTCTTATGAATATGAAACAATCTCAGGAGTTCTTTCTGTCCTATTTTTTTAATGAGAAAGTTTCTCTGGGACTCCTGTTGTTTTTTTTTTTTTTAATAAAACAATCTCAGAAGTCCTTTCTGTATTTCTTTAATGGGTAAGCTTCTCTGGAACTTCTACTTTTTTTAAATCATTCTCGGGAGTCCCTACTGTCTTTTCTTTAAATGAATAGGAAACAATCTCACTGGAGCCCTTTCTGTCCTTTTTTAATGACAAATCTTCTCTGGGACGCCTTCTGTTGTTTTTCTTTATGAATGTGAAACAATCTCAGGAGTCCTTTCTGTCCTATTTTAATGCGAAACCTTCTTTGGGACTCCTTCTGTTTTTTTTAAGAATGTCAAATAATCTCAGGAGTCCTTTCTGTCTTTTTTCTTTAATGCGTAAGCTTAGCTTCTTTGGGACTCCTGCTTGTTTTTAAAGAATGAGAACCATTCTCGGGAGTCCCTACTGCCTTTTTCTTATGAATATGAAACAATCTGAGGAGTTCTTTCTGTCCTTTTTTTTAATGAGAAAGCTTCTCTGGGACTCCTGTTGTTTTTTTTTTAAATATAAAACAATCTCAGGGGTCCTTTCTGCCTTTTCTTTAATGGGTAAGTATCTCTGGGACTTCTACTTTTTTTAAAGAATGTGAATCATTCTCGGGAGTCCCTACTGTCTTTTCTTTAAATGAATGGGAAACAATCTCAGGAGCCCTTTCTGTCCTTTTTTAATGACAAATCTTCTCTGGGACGCCTTCTGTTGTTTTTCTTTATATATGTGAAATAATCACAGGAGTCCTTTCTGTCCTATTTGAATGCGAAACCTTCTTTGGGACTCTTTGTTTTTTTTTTTTAATGTCAAATAATCTCAGGAGTCCTATCTGTCTTTTTTCTTTAATGAGTAAGCTTAGCTTCTTTGGGACTCCTGTTTTTTTTTAAGAATGTCCCTACTGCCTTTTTCTTATGAATATGAAACAATCTGAGGAGTTCTTTCTGTCCTTTCTTTTTAATGAGAAAGCTTCTCTGGGACTCCTGTTATTTAAAAAAAAAATGTAAAACCATCTCAGGAGTCCTTTCTGTCTTTTCTTTAATGGGCAAGCTTCTCTGGAACTTCTACTTTTTTTAAAGAATGTGAACCATTCTCGGGAGTCCCTACTGTCTTTTTTTTAAATGAATGGGAAACAATCTCAGGAGCCCTTTCTGCCCTTTTTTAATGATAAATCTTCTCTGGGACGCCTTCTGTTGTTTTTCTTTATGAATGTGAAACAATCTCAGGAGTCCTTTCTGTCCTATTTGAATGCGAAACCTTCTTTGGGACTCCTTCTGTTTTTTTTTTAAGAAAGTGAAACAATCTCAGGTGTCCTTTTAATGACAAACCTCTCTGGGACTCCTTCTGTTGTTTTTCTTTATGAATGTGAAACAATCTCAGGAGACCTTTCTGTCCTATTTTAGTGCGAAATCTTCTTTGGGACTCCTTCTGTTTTTTTTTAAGAATGTCAAACAATCTCAGGAGTCCTTTCTGTCTTTTTTCTTTAATGAGTAAGCTTCTCTGGGACTCCTACTTTTTTTAGAGAATGTGAAAAAATCTCAGCAGTTCCTTGTCCTGTTTTTTAATGGGAAAGCTTTTCTGGGACTCCTACTTATTTTAAAGAATATGAACCATTCTCGGTAGTACCTACCGTGTTTTTTTAATGAATGTGAATCAACCTCAGGAGTCCTTTTTTCATGAGAAACCTTCTCGGGGACTCCCTCTGTTGGTTTTTTTTTTTATGAATGTGAAACAATCTCAGGAGCCCTTTCTGCCCAATTTTAATGCGAAACCTTCTCTGGGACTCCTTCTGTTTTTTTTTAAGAAGGTGAAACAATCTCAGGTGTCCTTTCTGTCCTAATGAGAAAAGTTCTCTGGGACTCCTTTGGCTTTTTTTAATGAATGTGAACCATTCTCGGGAGTCCCTACTGTCTTTTTTTAAATGAATGGGGAAGAATCTCAGGACCCCTTTCTGTCCTTTTTTAATGCGAAACCTTCTCTGGGACTCCTTCTGTTTTTTTTAAAGAATGTCAAACAATCTCAGGAGTCCTTTCTGTCTTTTTTGTTTAATGAGTAAGCTTCTCTGGGACTCGTACTTTTTTTTAAAGAATGTGAACTATTCTCGGGAGTCCCTACTGACTTTTTTTGTAAATGTGAAACAATCTCAGGAGTCGTTTCTGTCCTTTCTTAATGAGACACCTTCTCTGGGACTTGTGTCTTTTTTTTTTAAGAATGTAAAACAATCTCTCAGGGGTCCTTTCTGTCTTTTTTCTTTAATGAGTAAGCTTCTCTGGAACTCCTACTTTTTTTAAAGAAAGTGAACCATTTTCGGAAGTCCCCACTGTCATTTTTTGAATGAATGTGAAACAATCTCAGGAGCCCTTTTGTCCTTTTTAATGGGAAACAAACTCGGGGGCCCTTTCTGCCCTTTTTTAATGCGAAAGTTTCCCTGGGGCTCCTTCTGATGTTTTTTTTTTTTACAATGTGAAACAAATCTCAGAATTTCTTTCTGCACTTTTTTAAAGAGAAACCCTTTCTAGGACCCCTTCTGCTTTTTTTAAAGAACGTCAACCTTTCTCGGGAGCCCCTACTGTCTTTTTTTTAATGAATGTTAAACAATCTCAGGAGCCCTTTCTATCCTGAAACATTTTCGGAGGCCCCTGGTGTCTTTTTTTTAAAGAATGTGAAACCTTCTCGGGGACCCTTCTGTCTTCACCCATAGAACTAGAATATGGATTCTTGTGTTGGTTTGGAGTTATGTTTCTTTAGGACTAGAAAGCTTCAAGGACTCAAATCCTTCAAACCGCAATGCGGACTTTGGTGCCGTTTTGGAGTTTGTTCCCGTTGAATTTGAATAAAAGTAATAAACCATTCAATGAGAGCTTTCAAATATCTGTACTATTTAAATTAGTAGTAATATTGTCGACAGCTTCTAGTGGAATTATAGAATTTAATCTGGCAATCATAAACAAAAACAATTTTTTTGAGAAAACCATTGATAAAATTACAAACCTGCCCGTAAATAATTTTAAAATTAGCTGCGAAAATCTTTCGATATTGTTAAAACGAAGCCATAAAAAATGATTCAGCCTGTATATTTTTTCATATATTGAGTAGCAAAGGCTTCTGCGGCAACTTTTTGATTCGCAACAATACGGGGTGACCGTCTCCCCTCCCACCCAAAAACCACCCCTGCGACCAACCCTCGGTCGCGCCACATTCATCCAGCCTCGGGGTGGCTTCTCTCCCTCGAATTATTTTAATCTATTCGACGTGACCACTATTTCGACAAATCCACGATAAAACTTTCACGTGATATCGACGTGTTTCCAATGTTTCCAACCGAACGATAATGTTTAGGTGCAATTAATTCGTATTTACGCAAAAATCGGGAATTTTTGCGATGACAAACACACACTGACGATAAACACGCTCTTGAAAATATTTATTTTATTTTGCGTCGGTTCGTTTGGCGATTATCGATTATTATGCGATCAAAACACCGGGCTTTCGATGGACGATTTATGGAGGAGATTCCTTCGCCGGTTTTTCAGGAGTGCTGAACAGACTGTTTCGGCAGTTCGCTTTTTCGGACTGTAAATAATTAATTAAGGAATGGAGTCGATCATGTGTGCGGGACTCCAGCTGGCGGATGATTTTCGGGACTAATGTTTTGTGTAAGGAGGAAAACAACAGACATAAATTTTCTTGGGGAGAGATGCGGTCGTGGGTTAGTCGAACAGCAACAGGGTGTTTACCTTTCAGGCGATTTAAAAAGTTTGTGTGGAAATTTTAGAATGTCGCATTCGGTCCGACGCGAGGTTCTAAATACTAAAAATATGTAGCATAATTTTATAAATTAATAAATTGAACTGAATTATCGCTAATATAGTAATAATATAACAGGAAGAAAATAATAACTTTAGTTGTAGTTATGTAAATTTCAGGGTTGTAGTCTTCGATTTCTTGGTATCACATGTTTGTCGCACGAGAGCAGCATAATACAAGTATTATTTATACTAATAAGCACAATTATAAAAAATATAAAGAGAAAGCAATGTTATTTTCAAAGAATACAAAGCCCAACCACGTTATTGTCGTGCCCCGTGTATGTGTATATCGTTGACAAATCCGTCATTACCCTAACCCAACTTTTTGCATCGTGACATGTGACAGCCCGTCCGCATCCCGCCACCGCCACATCCACACGCCACTTTTTCCACCGAATCGCAGTCGCCTGTGACAGGTGGCCGCCGCAACCCGCCACCTCCATGTGCACGAAAACGTAAACAAAGCATCCCCACCCCCTCATCAAGATGGCGCCCCCCGACCACATGCTTTCCCCGCCACCTCCTCCACCCAATTACCCCCTAATTACGCCCATTCCACGCGTCCTACCTTTCCGCTGCGGTTTGGCCTGTTTCCTCCGTCCCCTAGGTCCCCCAGGAACTCCCGTTGCCATTTCCCATCAAGTTCACCTCGGCACGTCACACGTCCACACGGGCACAACACAAACCAGAAACGTGAGAGATCGCGTTCTTCGGAACGGACGAGCGACGTTCACACACACCCCCAGCCAGAGCCAGACTCTCGGAACGCACCTCTCTGGCCCGCGGCAATGAACACGATTGCCTCTTCGCCATTGGTCACGCGAGGTGCGATGCGATTGGTCGCACCTTCCAGGTTACTCCTACCTGTCCAACCGCCCACGTTGCCGCCGCAGGTGAGCGATGCCGCGGTTCAAGGTCGCCGACGGCGGCGCCCGTCACGAACAGCTGATTCGGCCCGGGACGGACATTTTGGCGGCGACGGAACCGGTTCGGGAGCGTGAATAGCGGGCACGAGGAGCGGGAACCGGTTCGAACAGGGGGGACGGGCTTGGGCGAGCCGACGCCAGAGGGCGGCACGAGGTAGTTGGCGGGATAAAACTAGTCGGTAAGGAAGGACGCGATAAAGCTGAATTTTACGAGGGAAACGGCGAGATTTTTCTCATCTGGGGAACTAAATGACAATCTTAGCAAGCCTGGTGGTGTACATAATTGTGGAAAAACGACCATAACGACAAATATTTTTGAAATTTCTATGCGACGTTGCCACGTTGCTGCCATTTTTTGAGTTTCTTTACCAATACACAGGTCTACAAAAATTTGCAACATCCCTGTTGTTTATAAAAGTAAAATAAATAAACAAATTCTAAAATTTTACTGTTTGCAAATGTCGGTTTTTTATTTTCGTTCTCTCAAGTAAAATTTTTATAAACTGTAAACTTTTAGATTTTAGTCTTGTGGTTTATGAATCCGCCCTTATTTTTTAACTTCTGTTGTGGTGCCAAATGTTATGAGTCTTTATTGCGTTTTTTTCTGTTATTTATGTTTATATTAAATAATAATAACATCGAGAAAGCAATAAAAAAAATCTATCAAAGACAGGCATGGATTTTTGAAGATATGTCTTTGATAGAATTTTTGAATTATTAGATGATGATTAGATTTGTTCTGTTGGACAATAAATTATGTTATTATTATTATTATTATTATGACCGTCAATTTGAAAGTTTGCGACTGTAAAAAAAAAATACAGAGTTACTATTAATGTTTTTTTTGGGAAGTTGGCAACAGATTTAAAATTTTATGATTGCATTGCCGAGTTAAAGTTGAAATTTTGGGGGCCAATTCCAGCTGCCATTTTCTAACTGATTTGGGCGCACTCATGTCAAAACTGACATCTGTGAATTGACTTGCTAACATTGCTGCCAATAATTCAGAATTGCCAACTCAAAAATTATTAATGGTCACCCTATAGCCCCTAGAAATCCATAGTAGCGTCATCCATTGTTGTACGAGTGGAGCAAATGCAGTTGGTAACGCAAAAAATTCCCCTGCTTTGGAACCAAATTGTGTCAGCAGAGAGTTGACAGCTCGTAAACCGTTGTTGTCACGTGGTCTTGGCGTGGTCTTTTTGTTTAAAGTCACTTAAATGTCAATTAATATAACTAATAATTATTAAATAAGATGTTATTGATTAAATTTTATATTTTATTACTACAAACTACAAATTTTAAATCTAACATAAAACCATTTTAAATTTCGCGGTCTGTCAAATGGTGTTAATAATTTTTGTTTTTGTTAAGTTTCCGCCAGGTTTGCTCCACGGTGACGGTACTATGTATTTCTAGGGGCTTTAGGTCACCCCATATATGTAGACGAACCATACGCAAAGTGATGTGATCATAAAATATCGTACATCAAGGTTGCTTTGGAAAATCTGTCACTGCACTGTCTATTAAAAAATAAAGACTAAAAAACTTTTAGAAAATTAAAATTCACGAAGTTTCAAAGTCAACGTGATATTAAATTTTTATAATCGCCTTTTAAATAGGTAAGTATACCGTACGATTTTTTAAATTTGACATGGAAGGAAGCTCTGGAAACAAAAAATGTGAAAGAAACTTGATTATTTTTTATGTAAATGTGACTATCATTGACACAAATTGAGGTTAAACTAGAGATGTTAGTGAATAAAAAACGGTTGTTTAACGAGACATGTTTTTTTTTTGTTTTATTATATAATATATATTTTTTTTAATTATTTGCTTTAATAAATGTGTAACATATCAACAAAATTGTTTGTTCTAACCTCAAAATTAAAAGCGCCTAAAAACCAATTGGTGCTGAAAATTTGAATTTGACATCAGGTATGCCATCATAAGATTTTAAATATCTTGCCAACCTGACAAAAAAAACACAAACATTAATAACTATTTTGTTTTCCTCGTATTATTATTTATAATTCTGCTAATTTGTTATTTGTAGCTAATTAAGTATTTTAGGAGAAATTTAAAAATAAAACACTTCATTTCTGGCGCAGCCCGATCTAGCGCTCGGTTCTTTTCGCCTTAGTCGGAAATAACGGTAGTGGGAGGAGCCGCAGGTGGGGTATACACACAACTAACGCAACTAAAATTAAAAACTTTTTATTTTCATCCGACTTCTGTATTTTTTGTGTACTAATTACAAAATAAATAACAACCTTAAAGTATTGTAAACACTGTTCAATAAAAAAGTACCGGCTTTAAATGTGAAGTACGTGAATTATTTATCCAGCCTGCAAATCGGACTCCTCTGCACCATCTCCAAATCCACCTTGGGCCCAACCAAATCCCGAATATTCGTCAAACCATACTTAATCATCGTGGGTCTTTCCAAAGACAACCCCCACGCAATCACTCTCACGTTCTCCGGCAAACCCATGGCTAACAACATCTCGGGCCTGAACATCCCAGAATTCCCCAGTTCAATCCACTTCCCTAGACCGTTATGGAAGCAGAAAATCTCCATACTGGGCTCAGTATACGGGTTATAAGCAGGCTTGAATTCAAGCTCCGTGATCCCCAACTTTTTGAAAAATTCGGCAAAAACGCCAATTAAATCCCCCAAAGTCACGTCGTAGTCGGCGATCACGCCTTCAACTTGACAGAATTCGGCCAAATGGGTGGCGTCGAGCGTTTCGTTCCGGAATACTTTGTCAATACTGAAGAGTTTGGTGGGTTTGAATTGTTTCTGTTGGGCTAATTTGTACAGCATTCGCGCGCTGTTGGCGGTGGTGTGGGTGCGGAGGAGGTTTTTCTGGGCTTCTTCGATCTTCCAGTCGTAGCGGTAGCTAGAAATAATTAAAACTGACTTGAATTATTGGTTGCCTATGTAACCACACTAAAAATTTCAAAAGTGAGGTTATAAACGACATTGTGACAGCGAAGTGGCAAACTTGATAAAAAAAAATGTTTACCCTATTGATCCATAGCCGCCTTTACTGTGCACCTCCTTCACCCTCTCTTTATATTCCTCTGGAAACTTTGTGCTAATTTTGGGGTCTGAAACGAAAAAAGTGTCGTGGGCGTCCCTAGCTGGGTGCTGCTGGGGTTGGAACAACGCGTCGAAATTCCAGAAGGAGTTCTCCACGTAGTTATTCGTAGGCATCTCAGAGAACCCCATTTCCAAGAAAATCTGTCTGAACTCAAACCTGACTTTCAACAATGGGTGCAAATACCCACAATCCAGAGGCGTCCCCAAAGCGTCAAAATTATACTCCTTGAACGACAAGTTCTTCCAGTTTCCAGACACCAACATATCAGCAGTTAAATCCGTCTCCAGTTTTGTCAAAGTTAGACTAAAATCGCGCCCTTTACTCAAAAGGAAACTCTTCTGAACCACTTCTTGTATGAGTTTTCTCTTTTTATACTCCTGTTTCACACTATCAGCAATCTGGGCTGCATGCCCCGACAGAATTAACTTCAAATTAGCTTGAACCGTGTCCACAATTTTGTGTACTTTCTTTTTGATAACGGGGGCCGCTCCGTTTTTATCCATAACGATCCACCCGGCTGACATTGCTTTACTAAAACCGACCTTCGCGTTCGGGATTTTCATGAGATCCGATTGGGGGATTCCATCGTCGGGAACGGCGTTGTAGATTTTTGCTTCGTGGCTACCTGTTTCCACAATTAGTTTGCCTTCTTCAGTCAATTCTATGAACTTGTCGCTTTGGGGCTCCGCGACGAGGAGGTCACCGTGTGCTTGGATACTTTTAAGGGCCCCGATTATTTTTTGGTGGTCTTCTTGGAACTGTTTTGATAGTTCTAGGGTGCTTATGGGTTCGGACTCGGAGACTCGGTGGAGGATTTTTTCGCTTAGGTCTGTCATTGTGACAGGTGCTAGAACGTCTTTTTTTAGATTTGTGTGGAAGTGATGCAATTAATTACCTGATTGATTAATTCAACGTGTTAAAAGATAACCTAGTCACCGGTGACGGAATATGACATGTCACTGTCACTTGTCACTTTTCAATAATGCCAACTGTCATTTAACACGTTATGTGGTGGAAGTGGCTAAAAACACTTCACCGGTTTATTAAACAACGACATGGTTGATTTTATCATAGATCAATATAATTTGTGTTTTATACTAGCAAAACGTCTTCAACTAAGAATTTTGTTGAAATCGTAATAACTCAATGGATTTTTTTCGGAAAAATGTTTTGGAAACATTGTGTTCTATTTTGTATGAATTTTTAAATGTTTTTAGTGACAATTTTTGTATATTAACAGTGAGAAAAAAAATGAACAATAAAAATAATCGAAAATTCGAAAAATCGAGAAATCTAATAACAGAAAAATCGAAACCTTAAAAAATCATAAAACCGAAAAATTGAAAAATCGAAATATCGAAGAACTGAAAATCGAGAAATCGGAACTCCCAAATTTAAAAAATCGGATAACTGAAAAATCGAAACTTCGAAAAACCGAGAAATCGAAAAATCAAAAGATCAAGAAATAGTGGAGTCGAAAAGTCGAACAATAGGCCAAAATCAAAAAATCGAAAAGTTAAAAATTGAACAATTTATAAACTGAGAAATTGACAATCAAAATATCGAAAAATCCAAATGTTGATAAATCAAAAAACTTAAAAATTCGGAAAATTGAAAAATTGAGAGATTAAAAGATCCAAAGAACGAGAAATCGAAAAGTGATGAAGTCGAAAAATCGAAAAAAGAGAAATCGACCAACAAAAAGTTAAAAGTTGAAAAATTGGAAAAGCGGAAAAATCAAAAAACGAAAAAATGGAAAACTGGAAAAACTAGGAAACCGAAATAGGCCAAAATAAAAAATTGAAAAACTGATAAATCGAAAACCTGGACAATCAAATCTCGATTAATCGGGAATGAAAAATTAACAAATCTAAAACCAGGAAGTAAAAAAATCGAAAGATTAAGAAATATTGAAAAATTAAAATATCGAAAGATTGAAAAATCTAAATTTGAAAAATCCAAAAATTGAAAAATCGAAAAAATAAAAAGGTAGACACATCTAAAAATCCAGAAGTCAAAAATAGAAAGTCAAATTTGAAAAATTAAAAAATCGAAAATTTGACAAAATGACAATTGAAAAACAGAAAATCTAAAACCGGGAAGTCGAAAAATCGGAAGATTAAGAAATCGAAACTTTTGAAAAATTGAAATATGGAAGAGCTGAAATGAAAAATCGAGAAATCGAAAAATCGAAAATTTTAAATATTGAAAAATTAAAATCCCAAAAAATTGACAAATCTAAAATTTAAAAATCGAAAAAGTCAAAACTCGACACATCGAAAAATCCAGATATTTCTTTTTTGTTTTTTCAAAACATGCAAACTCTTTGAGTTTTCATTTTTAGATTTTCCAGTTTTCCATTTTCCAACTTTTGGATGTTTCAATTTTTAGATTTTGCAGTTTTTCGATTTGCAGTTTCAAAAATTTGCAGTTTTCCGATTTGCAATTTTCCGTTTCGGTTTTTCAATGTTTTGGTTTTATAATTTTTCTTTTTTCAGTGTGAAATTTTTCAGTTTTTGAATTTTTCAATTTTTCGGTTTGCGATTTTTGATTTGCAATTTTTCTAGATTTCATTTTAAATACATATGTAATAATAATGTCCTTTTTTATTTTGCGACTTTAGAATCGTTTAATTTTTCAATTATTGGAATTTATAACTTTTTCATTTTTATTCGATTTGCCAATTTTTTGATTTAGATGTTTCATGTTACAGCTTTTCAATTTTCCAATTTTTCGATTCGATTTGTTTTTTCTTCTGTCCAATTTTTCGATTTTTATTTTTTCAGTGTTTCAATTTTTCGTTTCGTCGGTTCTTCGATTTGCAATTTTTTGATTTTTCATTTTTTTATTCCTTCAATTTTTCGATCTAAAATTTCTCGAATTTTCAATTTTTCATTTAGATTTTTATTTTATTTATTTTTACAAATGTTCAGTTTTTCAATGTTCCAATTTTATAATTTTTGTTTTTTTAATTTTTCGATTTGCAGTTTTCAGTTTTTCATTCTTCACTTTTCGAGTTTTCGTTTTCAAATTTTTCAGTTTTTTGATTTTCTAACTGTTGGATGGTTCAATTTTTATAATTTTCAATTTTTCAATTTGCAATTTTTCGTTTCGATTTTTTTATGTTCTTTATTTTTGCAATTTTTCGATTTTCCAACTTTCAGATTTTTCAATTTTTCGTTTTTTCATTTAGATTTTTTATTTTTGATTTTTCAATTTTTTGCGATTTTAGAATTGTTTCATTTTTCAATTATGTATTGGATTTTATAACTTTTTCATTTACATATTAATTTTTCGATCTTACAATGTTACAGATTTCCGATTTTATAATTTTTTCGAATCGATTCGTTTTTTCTTCTTTCCAATTTTTCAATTTTTCGTTTCGTCAGTCCTTTGATTTGCAATTTTTCGGTTTTTAATTTTTTTGTTTCTTCAGTTTTTCGATTTAAATTTTCTGGAGTTTTCAATTTTTAAAATTTTCGATTTGCGGCTTTCATTTTCATTTTTAATTGTCTGTATTTTTACAATTTTTCATTCTTCACTCTTCGACAAATATTTCAGTTTTTCGATTTTCCAACTTTTGGATGTTTCAATTTCGTAAAATTTGCTATTTTTCGATTTACAATTTCACGAATTTTCAATTTTTCGATTTGCAATTTTTTGTTTCGGTTTTTTTATGTTCTTTATTTTATCCATTTTTCGGTTTTTCAGTGTTCTGAGTTTATAATTTTCTTTTTTTCAATGTGAATTTTTTTCATTTTTTGACTTTTCAGTTTTTCGATTTGAAATTTTTCGTTTTCTCAGTTTTTCTAGATTTCGTTTTAAATATGTAATAATAATAATCTTTCCAATGTTGGAATTTTAGAATTTTCATATTTTAATTTTCCAGTTTCGATTTTTAAGTTTTCAATTTCTCGACCTTCAATTTTTTAATTACAGCTTTTCGATTTTGCAATTTTTCGGATTTCCAATTTTTCGATTCGATTCGTTTTTTCTTCTTTCCAATTTTTCGATTTTCTTTCTACGTTTTCGATTTTGCAATTTTTCATTTTTTCAGATTTTCAATTTCTCAGATTTTCCTGTCTTTGTACTTTTTCGATTTTCCAACTTTTCGAGTCAGAAAAATGGAAAAATTGGAAATTGTAAAAACCGAAAACGTACAAAATGAAAACTTGCAAAAATCTAAAAATTGGAAATTAAGAACTAGAAAAATTGAAAAAACGAAAAATGGGTCGAAATCGAAAGATTGAAAATTAAAAATCGAAAAAGTAAAATAATCAACAAATCGAAAAATCCAGGAGTCAAAAATCGAAAAGTCGAAGAATATTGAAAAATCCCAAAACTGAGATATCCAAAAACTCAAAAATGAAAGAAAAACTGAAAAATGGAAAACTTGAAAAATCCGAAAACTGAAACATCCAAAAAGTGAGAACCTAAAAAGTCGAAAAATCGAGCAATCGAAAAATTCCAAAAATGAAGTCGAAAAATCGAAACCTTAAAAAAACTAAAAAATGAAAAATCGAGAAATTAAAGAATTGAAGAACAGCAATATCGAAACTCTCGAAAGTCAAGAAATGGGAAAGTCAAACCATCGATTAATTGAAAAATCGAAAAATTGACAGTTTAAAATGTCAAATTTGAAAAATTGAAAAAATCGAAAATTTGAAAAAACGACAATTGAAAAACAGAAAATCTAAAACCGGGAAGTCGAAAAATCGGATAAGAAATCGAAACTTTTGAAAAATTGAAATATGGAAGAGCTGAAATGAAAAATCGAGAAATCGAAAATTTTAAATATTGAAAAATTAAAATACCAAAAAATTGAGAAATCTAAAATTTAAAAATCGAAAAAGTCAAAAGTCGACACATCTAAAAATCCAGATATTTATTTTTTTGTCTTTTCAAGACATGCAAACTCTTCGAGTTTTCATTTTTAGATTTTCCAGTTTTCCATTTTCCAACTATTGGGTGTTGCAATTTTTAGATTTTGCAATTTTTCGATTTGCAATTTCACAAGTTTTCAGTTTTCCGATTTGCAATTTTCCGTTTCGGTTTTTTTTTTTATTTTTTCAATTTTTCGGTTTTTCAATGTTCTGGTTTTATAATTTTTCTTTTTTTCAGTGTGAAATTTGTCAGTTTTTGAATTTTTCAATTTTTCGGTTTGCGATTTTTGATTTGCAATTTTTCTAGATTTCATTTTAAATACATATGTAATAATGTCGTTTTTTTATTTTGCGACTTTAGAATTGTATAATTTTTCAATTATTGGAATTTATAACTTTTTCATTTTTATTCGATTTTCCAATTTTTTGGTTTAGATCTTTCATGTTACAGCTTTTCAATTTTCTAATTTTTCGATTTGATTTGTTTTTCCTTCTGTCCAAGTTTTCGATTTTTAGTTTTTCATTGTTTCAATTTTTCGTTTCGTCGGTTCTTCAATTTGCAATTTTTTGATTTTTCATTTTTTTGTTCCTTCAATTTTTCGATCTAAAATTTCTCGAATTTTCAATTTTTCATTTAGATTTTTATTTTATTTATTTTTACAAATGTTCAGTTTTTCAATGTTCCAATGTTATAATTTTTGTTTTCTTAATTTTTCGATTTGCAGTTTTTCAGTTTTTCATTCTTCACTTATCGAGTTTTCGTTTTCAAATTTATCAGTTTTTTGATTTTATAACTTTGGGATATTTCAATTTTTAGAATTTTCAATTTTTCGATTTGCAATTTTTGGTTTCGATTTTTTTATGTTCTTTATTTTTGCAGTTTTTAGGTTTTTCAGTGTTTGGATTTTATAATTTTTCGATTTGCAATTTTTCGATTTTCCAACTTTTTGATTTTTCAATTTTTTGCGATTTTAGAATTGTTTCATTTTTCAATTATGTATTGGATTTTATAACTTTTTCATTTACATATTAATTTTTGGATCTTGCAATGTTACAGATTTTCAATTTTATAATTTTTTCGAATCGATTCATTTTTTCTTCTTTCCAATTTTTCAATTTTTCGTTTCGTCAGTCCTTTGATTTGCAATTTTTCGGTTTTTCAGTTTTTTGTTTCTTCAGTTTTTCGATTTTGCAATTTTTCGATTTAAATTTTCTGGAGTTTTCAATTTTTAAAATTTTCGATTTGCGGCTTTCATTTTCATTTTTAATTGTCTGTATTTTTACAATTTTCCATTCTTCACTCCTAGACAAATATTTCAGTTTTTAGATTTTCCAACTCTTGGATGTTTCAATTTTGTAAAATTTGCTATTTTTCGATTTACAATTTCACAAATTTTCAATTTTTCGATTTGCAATTTTTTGTTTCGGTTTTTTTCATGTTCTTTATTTTATCCATTTTTCAGTTTTTCAGTGTTCTGAGTTTATAATTTTTCTTTTTTTCAACGTGAACTTTTTTCATTTTTTGGCTTTTCAATTTTTCGATTTGAAATTTTTCGTTTTTTAAGTTTTTCTAGATTTCGTTTTAAATATGTCATAATAATAATCTTTCCAATGTTGGAATTTTAGAATTTTCATTTTTTAATTTTCCAGTTTCGATTTTAAGTTTTCAATTTCTCGACGTTCAATTTTTTAATTACAGCTTTTCGATTTTACAATTTTTCGAAATTCCAATTTTTCGATTTTCTTTCTACGTTTTCGATTTTGCAATTTTTCGTTTTTTTAGATTTTCAATTTCTTATATTTTCCTGTCTTTACTTTTTCGATTTTCCAACTTTTCGAATCAGAGAAATGGAAAAATTGGAAATTGTAAAAACCGAAAACGTATAAAATGAAAACTTGGAAAAATCTAGAAATTGGAAATTAAGAACTAGAAAAATTGAAAAAACGAAAAATAGGTCGAAATCGAAAGATTAAAAATTAAAAATCGAAAAAGTGCAAAATGTGAAAATCGAAAAATTGAAAAATCGGAAAAGTAAAATAATCAACAAAACGAAAAATCCAGGAGTCAAAAATCGAAAAGTCGAAGAATAGAAATATTGAAAAATCCCAAAACTAAGATATCCAAAAACTCAAAAATGAAAGAAAAACTGAAAAATGTCAAACCTGAAAAATCCGAAAACTGAAATATCCAAAAACTGAGAAATTAAAAAATTGAAAAATTGAGAAATCGAAAAATCAAAAAAGTGAAGTTGAAAAATCGAAACCTGAAAAAATTGAAAAACCAAAAAATCTGAAAAATCAATTAATTGAAAAATCGACAAATAAAGAGTTTATAAAAGTCAAAAATTAAAAAATCGAAATATTAAAAATCGTAAAATTGAAGAGAAAAACTGAAAACCGAGAAATTGAAAAATTTCGAAACACTGAGAATTCGAAAGTTGAAACAGCAAGAAATTATAGGTTAGGATTTGTATCAGATCACGGATCATGGCTTATAAATCAAATCGTTTCAGGACGCTTAGAGTCGACATTGGCCTGAGTGCGTTCTGGTCTGTAGATCAAACAAGTTCTCAGACGACGAACTGTCATTCGTGTGACCTGAATTAAAGTGAAAATATTATAACATTTTTTCTATTGTAGTTAATTTTATTCCTAGTTAGAAACAAACACTGTTGCCAACATAAGTCGAGGAGTCCTCACCCGTCATTCAATTTAAACTATGACGCTTCTCTATGTTCTCTGATTTTATCATTTATTTCTTATAATTAATAAATAAATACATTAATACACTAGTTACAATTACGTTCCGTCCTCCGTGGAATGTCCCTCGTAAAACTCATTCAAAATACTAAAATGCTGAACAATACTAGGCGGCAAATCCCCAAAATGCACCCGACGTTGTACACAAGCGTTAAAATTGCGCAACGTCGTATAAAATATCTTCTCCTCCTTTTTTATCCAAGGTCGTCGATCGTCCTGCACTTGATATGGAGAAACATGTATATGTACATTAATACCTACAAAAACCAGTAAAACTCGACTCAAAAAAACCCACACTTACCAAAATTAGCTAAAGTTTGCAGCAATGGCTTCGACGTCACCCACGTGTTTTTCCCGCCACTGTGACCACCATCTAACCAAAACATATTCTTTATCCTTGACACAAACTCGTCTTTTTCTTTCATGGTACTAAACTCGTACAAACACTGATTTAGAACCACACACCCTTTACTGAACCCGATTATGGTTAAATCGTGGTTTAGCGGTTTGTTGACTTGGTTTCCAATGTTAGCGATTAACGTGTCGAGGTGTTGTAGGCAGTGGTGCATCTGGATGTGGTGAGGTACCCCACAGTTGCCACTCGGTACGAAATTTTGGAAACAACTGAATGTTTTGTATTCCATTCTGGAATGGCCGGATTAAGAAAAAACAAAAGTATTTATTTATTGGGTACTTTGATGGTCGAACTACAATAATGTGAGAATTGGGGAAAGTCGCCTGAAGGATTAAAGCCGTGTTGTCCAGGCTCCAGGTTACGTAGTTTTTGTTGTCGCGGTGCGATTCCATGCTTTCTTTGAAATCCTGGAAGAAATAGGGTGTGTAGCGAAAATTTGAGTTGGTAAGCCTGTCGTGAAATCGGAAATACCAACGTAAGCGTTAAAAGCATAGCCACCTCAAAACGTGATATTTTTTAATACCTGGATGTCTCCACCGAAGTACACCACCGTATCCTGTCCCTCATTCTGGAGTCTCGGTCCGCAGTAGACCACATCGTTCGACCTGTCTTGATATCCAGCAACCCCCAAAAGTCTCACTGGACCGGCTTTCTCCTCATCGATCATACCCACACGTGTACAATCTGGAACGAATCCAAAAATGTGCACACCCAAAAATAAAAAAACACCGAAATAGTCCCGTTTGAAAATCCACAACACCAAAAATGTTAATATTTTTAAATCGCGCCACTCCACCTCAAAACTCTTCTTCCTTGTACTTCCTGCAACACTCGAACATTCTAACCCTCGTATCCTCCAAGCACTGTCTGAAATCCTCCCGGAACTCCTCCACTTTCACCCTCACTTCCTCCCTCATCAAATTAAAACACATCGCCACCAACCCCAACCCCACTAAAATATAAATAAAATTGATAACCAATTTCGACTCGTTCCCATCTTTGGAAGCCGCCCCTGGCACGAAATCCCCCAAACCCAATTTACAAAGACTCGTAACGCAAAAGTAGGCGCTGTCTAGATACGTCCACTGTTCCCACGCCGAAAACATTAAAGCCCCTATTAAAACATAGCCACCCATGACCCACAAACACGCCGTCGTGGGTACCACAATCCTGCGCTGAATTTTTTCGTTCTTGCGGGTGCTGCATTCGTACAACCATGTGTACACCCATCGGAAACACCCAGCGAGGATTTCACCCATGTTTAAAAAATAGAGAACGTATAACGGGATTCCGATCACCGCATACACCACCGTTGCGAATTTCCCCCAACTGGTCTTCGGTACCAAATTCCCGTACCCAATCATCGTGATTATGCTCAAACAAAACATCAAGGCGGCCGGGAAAGTCCACTTAGTGTTGGAATCCGGACCATGGTACCCCTTTTTAATAACCACGACCATTTCGTTCTGGAAACTCCTCAGTTTTTCGTTCGTGTCCAGATAGAACGCCGTTTTGTTAAAAACGTTCCATCTTTCGGCCACGAACCACAGTTCTGTTGAATAGTTGCTCCGGATTTCGTTGACTGTGTCCCCTATCGTGTCGTTGTAGCGGGACTCGATTCGACTGAAGCCCACTGCGCCGATTATGGTGTAGCAAACCACCAAGGCCCCCACACCGACTTGGGAGCACATAAATGCGACGAATTTCCTCAAGTAGTCTTTGATTTTCTCGCGAGGGTCGATATCACTGGTCGAAGACTCTCTGCTGCGCAAGGAGCTGCGGAAATACCGACGTCTATTCATGGCGACGGTGACTGAACTATTGAGAATCATATGCGTCGGAGTTATTTCGAGATTTGCGTAAACTTGGACCGGTGCCAAAAGACAGCCAAGTCGCTGGACAAAAACCGATCAAATAAACTCGATGCGGATGTACGTTGGATGCTAATTAAACTTGATGAGTTTGCTTGTAAACAGTGTTGACTTTTACAACTTGTTTATGTCGTGATGAAGTACAACTTAACTGGGTTTTTCTGCGGAGAGGTGCACCGCGGAGGTGATTTATGAAGTGTTTGTTTAGTCTGGTTGTGTTCAATAAGGGGTACGACATAGCAACAATCGGAATAGTAATAATAATACAGAAAATACACAACCGGTTGTCTGTCTACGTAAATAAGAGACATACTAACCTGAAAATTGTAAATATTCGCTTAAAACTCGTACAAAAGTGCAGTCAACATTCTCGTCGAAAAGTAAACATAACCTCAATTTTCAGCCTAGTCGATTTTCGAAAAAGACGTACATGTGCGGCCCGGACGCACCAAGAATGTCGTGAATGTTGTGTTTCCAACGAAGAGGCAACTTTTGCGCTCCAGTAGTCGTTTTACCGCAAGAAAAAACATTTTTTTCAACTCGAATTGACAAGCATGAGTACCACCCCAACAACATACAACAATGGATTTTTTCCATCTGACATTTATTCAAAAACATCGAACAAAAACCCAATTAAGAACCAAACATTACATTAACATTTGTATTATTACATTCACAAAATTATTATCAGGTTGACTTATTTATTTTAAAGGTAGATTTATAAACTTGTCGCGACGTCGTTGGCATTGGGTTTTCAACCAATCAAAATCAAATTGCGGCGGTAGTGTGCAGCGCTGCCAACTTGAAGGAAAATCCCCTGAAGTAGGGGGGACATTTTTCTGGTTGACAGCAGTAATTCCACGAAAATTCAATTTTGATAGAGATAATGAGGTCTACTCGTTAAACCATTTATTAACCTGTTCACCGAAACCTTATATTTTAAATAGCTGCCATCTACACTGTAGCTTTCTGTCAGTACTTATGCATTGTTATAAAGAGAGTTCTCGATGTTTGAATCAACAAGATTTATTGCTATTCGTCTCAAAAACAGATCTTTTCACAACAAGAAAGGTAACCCATGATTAAAATGTTAAATTTTATGGTAAACTTTTGAAGGAAAGTATCGATTTTGCAATTAAGCTCCGCCCCTCGGCTTACGACAAATAAAAAAATCATTAGAATTGAGATAGGGCGAGTGGGAGGGGCTTATAATTTGCCTTTTTTTTATTAATACATATACATAGCCATCTTTTCATAACAAAAAATTACAAAATTGTTAAAATGGTGTATTCCTGCAAGGAAATATGGATTTAGTGATTTCGGGACAGAGCGTAATTGCAAAATCGGTATTTTCGTATACAAGTTTTCCATTTTTAACATGTTTTTGACTTTTTTCATGTTGTGAATGTTAAAACAAAAAGGCAAAATGTAATCCCGCCCACCCGCCCTATCTCAATTGTGATGATTTTTTTTTATTCGCCGTAAACTAAGGAGGAGGAGCTTAACTGCAAAATACTTGAATACTTTATAAGATGTTTTTGAGTATCAGGTTGTTTAAAGAATACTATGTATATTAAGAAAAAAAGGCAAAATATTAACCCCGCCCACCCACCCCATCCCTATTGTGATGATTTTTTTTTCTTAGAAACTCAAAACACGTTTAAAATAGTAAATTTTCAATTTTCGTAAGGATACATAGATTTGGCAATGAGGCTCCGCCCCTAGGTCTGCCAACGAATGAAAACTTAATTACGATTTAGATCAGGGCAGGTATAGGTTGAGCTTAATCTTTGGTTTAAATTTTTTTTTAATATACATATGTAACTAGTATTCTTTGAATAACATGATACTCAAAAATATGTCGTAATTTCTTATAGAGAAATAATAAGCATATTGCAGTTAAATTCCGCTCTTTTGGCTCTCGACGATAAAAAAAAAATCGTCACAATAGAGATAGGGTGGGTGGGTGGGGTTTACATTTTGCCCTTTTTCTTAATATATATGTCTTTTCGGAACAAGAAACTTAAAACATGTTTAAAATTGTAAATGCGTATAGGGAAATATCGATTTTGCAATTACGCTCCACCCCTCGGCCTGACAACGAATGAAAAATTCATCACGATTGAGATCGAGACGGATAGGTGGAGCTTATAGGCTCTAATGGTATTCTTTTTTATTTAAAACATTTAGTTTTCTTTTTATAACACGATTACATAAGAACATATTTCCCATAGTAATTTCTCGCAGAAAAAAAGTAGGATTTTTCAATTAAGCTCCGCCCCTCGGCTTACGACGAACAAAAAAAAAACACAAAAAATTAAAAACATGTTTTTAAGTATCGTGTTGTTCAAAGAATACATTGTATGTTAAGAAAAAAGGCAAAATATAAACCCCGCCCACCCACCCCATCTTTTTTTTATTCTTAGAAACTTAAAACATGTTCAAAATGGAAAATTTTTGTAAGGAAACATGGATTTTGCAATTAGGCTCCGCCCCAAAGTCTGCTAGGGCAGGTATGGGTTGGGCTTAGTCATTGGCTTTAATTTTTTTAATACATACCTAATAGTATTCTTTGAATAACACAATACTCAAAAATATATCTTACATGGTAATTTGTTATAGAGAAATAATAAGGATTTTGCAATTAAATTCTGCTCCTTTGGCTCTCGACGATAAAAAAAAATCATCGCATTTGAGATAGAGCGAGTGGGCGGGACTTATATTTTGCCTTTTTTTCTTAATATACGTAGCCGTCTTTTCAGGATGAGAAACTTAAAACATGCTTACAATGGTAAATTCTTGTTGATAAATAGGGACCTTGCAATTAAGGCCCGCCCCTTGATCTGACAACGAATGAAAAATTCATCACGATTGAGATTGAGACGGATGGGTGGGGCTTATAGGCTCTTTTGGTATTCTTTTTTAATTAAAACATTAATTAGTTTTCTCTGTATAACACGATTACATAAGAACATATTTCACATGGTAATTTCTCGCAGAAAAATAAGGACTTTTCAATTAAGCTCCGCCCCTCAGCTTACGACGAACAAAAAAAACCATTAGACTTGAGATAGGGCGGGTGGGCGGGGCTTATATTTTGCCTTTTCTTTTCTTAATATACCTAGCCATCTTTTCATTACAAAAACTTAAGAAAAGTCTACACATATTAAAACAAAAAGGTAAAATGTAAACCCGCCCACCCGCCCTATCTCAATTGTGATGATTTTTTTTATTCGCCGTGAACTAAGTGGGAGGAGCTTAACTGCAAAATCCTTGAATACTTTACCAGAAATTAAAAACATGTTTTAATGTGGGCCGGTTGCATAAACGCAAATCAAATTTAATCTCTGATTAAGAACAATTGTAACTATGATAATAACAATCTCTTGAAATACTTTTTTTGTTTCTTTTTAGAACTTTATATTTATTGTTGGTTATTTTCATTAAGTGATATAATTATTGCCCTGATATAAAATTTTTCTCTTTTGCATATAAGTAAGCTTGTAATGTTTGCAAATTTTGGTAATTTTTTGTAAAAGTAAGCAAAATCTAGCTTTTTTCTAGTTTTATGAGGAGACAGTAACCCCGCCCGCCCACCCCTTCATCATTCGAAAGACGACTCTTATCATTGTTCAGTTCTATCTTAGCAAGTTTTAGCCCCGCCCACCCACCCTCTGTTTTCTTAGAAGGTATGTAGTTTGCCACAATCAGTCTTATCGTAGCAAGTACTAGCTGAGATAAAATTCATTTTGGCAAATGAAATAGCCTCAAAATAAGAGAGGGTGGGTGGGCGGGGCTAGTAGCTCCTGAGATAAGACTGATTTTGGCAGACGAGATACCCTCTACGAAAAGACAGGGCGGGTGGGCGGGGCCAGTACCTGCTAAGGTAACGGTGACTTTGGCAAATACGACATGTCTTGTGTATTTTATTCCTGATTTCTTATGAAATCTGACTCTGACACTCTGCATATTAAAGAAATTTCTTGATATTTAAATGAATTCATCGTACACTAAATAAACCTCTATGAGATTTTATTATTTAATTCTGTCTTCCTTTACTGATTCTCTTGAAATACTTTTTTTGTTTCTTTTTAGAAATTTATATTTATTGTTAGTTTTTCTCAGAGTGATATAATTATTGACCTGATATTAAATTTTTCTTTTTTGCATATAATTGCATTGCTTGTAATGTTTCCAAATTTCGATCAATTTTTGTAAACTGTGATGATTTTTCTTTACAGAAATAAGGATTTTGGAGTTAAGCTCCGCCTTCTTGGCTCACAACGAATAAAAAAATCATCACAATCGAGGTAGGGTGGGTGGGCGGTGCTACATATTGCCTTTTATTTTTCTTAATATATGTAGATTTATTTCGACAACAAGAAACTTTAAAACATGTCTAAAATGATAAATTTTTGTAGTAATCAACTCCACTTTTCTTTTACAACCACTTTAAATACTGCAAAAGTTGAACTTCAAAGTTACCATCAACGGCAACATCAACAGCAGGTTTATAAGTCCGACTTAACATCCAATTTTTCGTTCCAGAAAGGCTTGTTCCCGTAAAATGCACGTACGCCACTGGAAGAGGTTCTAGTGGCTTCTAAATATCTGGTGACTTTAACACCTCAGTTTGACCAACATTACAATGACATTTCTGACAGTTACATTTTTGAATTATGATTGTTGATTTATGACATCTCAATCTGATCTTTACGTTCCGAAAAAGTACCAATGGACTCTTTTTACGGGGCACCACGGCAGCCCCCACCTCTTCCAACTATAAATCCAGTAAGACTAACCTCCCAATTGACCATCTAAACCAACCACTTTGTCGTAGATTCAACGCATTCCTTTAGTTCCTGAAGTCTCGATTATCGACAACTCGGCTTTTCCGACGTCTCGAAAAACATTCGATTTTAATGGTGCCACAAGACCCAACAGTGATTCGTTCATTCACATGAAAAAACACGTGCGCTTCAAGAACCACCACAATGAACCAACTCTCGGGAAAGAAAATTTGCCACAAACACTTAAGGCAGTGCCGGATTTGAATGGCAAGACTTTCAAGCAAATTTATATGGCGAATGTGCCAGACAGGCATTTAGATTTGAGTATTTTTGAATCTCCCAAACGACATAATTTAGTTGAGCCCCCTAAAGAAAATACTGAAAGAAACAATTGGCAATTAAGTAAACAATGTGATAGCTTTGTTAATGTGACACCCACAATGTGCAATCCGCAATTTAACGACCTGACGTTAAAGAGTATTGAAAATACAACCTCAAACACAAATTGGAGACCCAGAGACCAGAATTTATTCACAACGAGTTCAGATCGCGTCAATTTGACACAAACCCACAGAAATAAAACGCAGCACTGTACAGAAATCTGCACCCAAACTGAGCCCCAAAATTACGACAAATGCACTGACATTGCAACCCCCAGTGATGAACCCACTCTAAAAGATCTGTACCGACTAATCCAACAACAAAATGAACAAATCATGAATTTGCAACACCAAGTGAATAGTTTGAAGACAAGTCAACAACATGAAGTTGATGATACAATTCCAAGACCTTTTTTGAAAGACTTGAACAGTCCAAGCAAAAAGAGTTTATTTTCGTTTGGTGTTAAAGCCACAAGTGTGGAATTTTCGTTTCGAGCGCCACACAAACTGCGCAAAAATGAGTTTGTGGAACCCAAAATCCAGGAGATTGAGGAGTGTGATAATAGTACTAGTAACCAGAGTAATTCTTTGCATTTAAATGAATCTTTTGAGGTGAAAAGTGGATATGTTAGTAATGTACAAAGTATAGCAATTGAAATGGGTGATTATCAGAATTCAGAGTGAGTTATTTAAAGAGAGTTATGAATATTTAATAATTGTTTTTTTTTAGTGAGGAAGGTGAAGGCGAAGAGGGCGAAATTCAACTTTCATTGTGCAATGATATTATGGTAAGGATTTGTCAACAAAATTGAAATATTTTGACTTAAACAATTCCAGAATCAAGTCACCAATGTTTTAAAAAATGCCCAGAAATACTCAGAGTGTGGACAAGCTCCTGCCAACAATTTTGGACAAACGTTACATAATAATTTGTCCCCTATTCAAGAAGCGAGTGAAGTCACTAGGTATGTCACAAGTCGAATTAAATTAAAAATTAATTTTTAATAATTTAGAAACACGGACATTGATGTGGAAAATTGTAGCGAATCTGAGGTAAGTTACGCCGTCCAGCAGCTCCTAATGAAGTATTTACCATCTGAAAAATTACCAAACGTTTCCAACAAACCTAAACTGCCGACCCTAAAACTGAAACCATCCAACAAAGAAATGTCTTTTGCCACGCTCCAGTACTTGAAGAAGTACAACCTTATTGACAATACAAGTAAGCCTTTTGTTTATTAATTCAACAACAATAATAATAATTTGTCTTTGTAGAGAATGTTGATCAAGCTAAAAAATTACCAGTTGCAGACCCCAAAATATTAAACTTGACAGCACTGAAAATGCAACGCAAGCATCTGTAGGTTTATTAGCAACAAAACGTAGTTCGAGTATTCTATTTTTATATTTACAAATAAATACTAATTGACTAGTACCTTCCTACGATTTATATATTGAAAGACTCCCCACAGCCGCACGTTCCTTTGATGTTGGGATTATTAAAAACAAATTCTGAACTTAGCTTATTTTCTACATAGTCCATCTCAGTACCTAAAAGCGTGAGTTGTGCTTTTTTATCAATGAAAACGCGAACTCCATCTTGCACGACTTCTTCGTCCATTTTGTCTTTACTTTCCACATAGTCTAAAGTGTACGACAACCCATTACAACCCCTCTGTCGCACCCCAATTCTCAACCCTATCTACAAACACAAATCAGTTAAATATAGTTGAACACACTTACGTATTGTCAGTACATAGTTGTCGTGCCCTGTGAGAATTTGTTTGACTCGATTAACCGCTGCCGGGGTCTGTAATCACAAAATAATATAACATAACCTCAAAATCGATATGGTGTTTTACCAGGATAAGCGCCGCTCGCGTCGGGGCCAACTTCCTGTTCTTCATAGCCCTCACTGTGGCCGTTGCGACCACCCTAGTTGCCATTTTTGTATTTTTTCTGAATTTATGGAAAAATTTCAAGAATTTGTCAATGTTCAAAAGTGCGAATAAACAGGTACCAACCTAAGCAAAAGTTACTAGGTCGCACTAAATAATTCTTAAAATAATCACAATTTACTCGAAATGGTACCCTTTTTTGATTAATTCGGGCTTCGAGACGTAAATGTGGTAAATATTGTTGCGAAATAACACAAAGTGATTATTTTTTAGCCAAAAAGTTTGACGTGTTTAGCGCTGACCAATCGAAACGGGGCACAGGGCCGGATTTTAAATTTTGCACGACTTGCGATGCGTTGTAATTCGATTATATAAGGGTGATTAGTGCGTTTAGATAAGAATAACAATGATGAGTTTTATTTATATAAATGAGGTAACGTTATTAAACGTTGAAATGTTTTTGGACAGGGGCGTATTAGGGTTTTGTCGTGGAAAATATGTTAAACTTCCAGAAACCTTTATTATCAAATAAAATCACAATAAATGCTTATTTTATCCAAAATATATAAATTACTATGGTTGCGACAGAATCCAGTGTCGATGTATCTATTGATTGTAGATATACATGGGCAATAAATTACAACATAAATAACACAAATATGGATACGTCAACATCGTTTTAAATATCTCACATATATTTATATATTCATATAATCTATACTGCGAATAAAAAAAATACATCATTACTAAATAAAAAAGTAGTCATCAGTATATCGACGAGACAAAATAAAACCGTTGTCATGAAAAAGAGCAACTAAAACACGGAGTATTTGTGCGTTCTTTATTGCTAAAAGGCGAAAAGGCAGTTAAAATGCTCTATTTGTTATGACCCGTAGTAAAACCGGCCCGAAGAAAGGTCGGCCAGTACAACACAAAGAACTCTGAACAATTAGTCTAAATATAAAGATAATGTCTTTTCTTTTTCAACATTGATTAATAACAACTAACAGACACACACTGGTTATGAAATAATTTTGCTCTCTATTTAAGACAATCACATGGCACGATAAGGCCCTTGCATTTTTAAATATTGTATAACAAGCGACGGCCCTCCTGCGACGATTTCAGCAGGAATTTGCGACAACGGACAATTCTCTATACTCATGATTTGTAAATTTAGGCACAACGCCAACTCGAAGGGCAGATTGTGCAAAGAGGGGTTATCGTTCACGTACAAAGACTCTAAATTTTCAAGTGTGCCGATCTCCTCGGGCAGAAAAGCCAGATTGTTTTCGCCTACGCTGAGAAAAACTAGGTTCGATAGGTGGCCTATAGCTCTCGGTAAGCAAGTTAATTGGTTGCTTTGGACTATTAGCCTTTGAAGCTCGGTTAAATACCCTATTTCGTTCGGTAGTTGCTCGAGACGGTTCTCCTCTAAGTCTAATACTCGCAGCTTTCGCAGATTGCCAATACTGGGGGGAACGCGCCGGAGGAGGTTGTTCGATAATACTAGAACCTCGAGGCATTGCAGCGACTGGATATCGTCCGGTAATTTACTCAATTGGTTTGTACCTAGGTTCAGTTCGACCATATTTACCCAACTACCTATGTCTAAAGGTAAAGAAGTGAGCTGGTTTTCTTTCATGTTTAACTTCGTGAGGTGTTTTGCTCGCGAGAAAATCCCGTACGGGATTTTATCGATTTGATTGTGTTCTAAGTTGATCGAGTCGACGTTGGTGAACTGCGACGGGCCCCCTGACGGGAACGCCGAAAAACTATTTCTTGATAACGTAATACTAGTCAGTTCGTTTAAGCTCGACAGGAGCTTCTCTGGTAGTTGCGAAATCGCGTTACCTTCGACGTTGAATTCGTCCATGTGCCTACAATTACTCAGAGTTGACGGGACCGAACTCAACCGATTGTAACGCAACCCTAACCGAGTCAACTGTTGCAAATTCCCTATCGACTCCGGAATATCCAAAAGCTCGTTATGTTGTAAATCTAACGTGGAAAGATTAACACACTGCCCGATTTCCTCAGGCAAGTGCTCGAGATGATTGTGAGACACATCAAACGTGACCAAATTCACCAATTGCCCGATTCCCGCCGGTAACTCCTTGATTTTATTCTCGCGCAAACTGAGCATGGTCAACGACGTGAGAAACCTAATCTCGTCGTCGACAAACCGGATCCTATTGAACCTCAAAAACAACGTAGTCAAAGACGTGAGTTTGTACACCACGTCCGGAATATCATTGAGTTTGTTGTGCCTCAAATCTAATACTTTCAACGACTTCAAACTAACTAAAGAATCAGGCAAGCTAGTTAAAGAATTCTCACTTAAAGCTAGAGTTTGCAGATTTGTCAAGCACCCGATTTCCAGGGGCAAATACACCAACTTGTTACCGTACAAATACAGCTCGGACAAGTGTATCAAATCCCGCACCGTCGGCGGCAAATACGTGATGTTCGACTTACTTAAATCTAACCGCTTCACACCCTCGTCGCGACACCGCAGAAACTCCTTCGCCACATCCAAGTCGGCCTGAATCGGCTTGTTCTTCTTCGCCGTGGGCTTGGGCTTGTTGGACTCGGGGTGCTTCACCGTCACCACCTTCGGGCGCGTGATGTCGCCCCCCAGGGACCCCGACGAGTACTTCTTCTGCTTCACGCTCTCCAAAACACCTGATGATTCAGCTTCCGGCATCTCTGATTCTGGCAGACATGTATTGGTAGAAGGTTGAGTCATTCCGTCGGTTCAGACGTGATTTTTACAACTGATCGATTTGAGCGTCTTCATTACACACTGGAAATTCGCGATTAGGGTTGGGGTTTCCACGCCGGACTTACCCACTTTTCGGTGTATATTCCCTCGACATTTTCGCTTTTGTTTGGTTTGAGCTTATCCGTGAAGGTTAAAAGGGGTGGAAGGACTTCTGGGTGAAGACAGCTGCCGGTGCCGCCGCCCTCAAAATCGTAAACACAACATCAAACACGAAATGGGTGGTTGGTGGGACGCGCACGCCGCTGCAGGTGGAGCGCCGATTGGGGGCGATTTCGGGCTGCGGGGCTCGATGCGAGGAGTTTTAGCCGAGAAATTGCTATTTTTGTGGTTTTAATTTGTTGTTCGTTTTTCACAAAGCGTTGCCATTTTCACGCATAACTGTCACTTTTTGGAGTGGTCGTTCGGTAGGGTGTCACTCCGACGGCGCTGTCACTTGAATTTTCGCGAGGATTTTAACGCGAAAATGCGTTGTTTCGAAATATTGGTAGTTTGTGCTATCTCAGAATAATGCACAGATTATTAGTTTATTTTATTATTAATCTTTGAGAGATTTCCATCGACTTTGGAGTACTCCGTGCTCGCTATGAACTTTGGAACGACTATCTCAGACATTTATCAGTTTGCCAGAGACGGACTAAAAATTATTACCCTAGAAATACCGGCTTTACAGTAGCGGTCATTTCTACGGAACCACTCGATAAAAAGTCAAGTTGGTAGCCCTGTCATCTAGTACTTTAGGTCGAACGCGGTTGGTAGCGGTAGTTTATATGACAATCGAAACTAGCACAACACGAATGTTTCGGTTGCCCTCAGCTATGCCGCACTGTATCCCGTGCAGGCTGTATGTTCTGTTCATCTATTTATTAAAATAAAATATCTACATTGACAATGGGACCATTCAACCTGTCAAATTTTTGACACATATGTTTTCCCCCAGAAACCCGTCAAGGTCACTTACACCAAACAAACTTTGAAAATTTACACTAGGGAGTGGTTCTATAGAAAAGATCGCGACTTTATGTGTTTCTTTATTTCCGCAGGCAACGTTATTTTAATTACACACCTGAAATTAATTATTGCCTGTATTCATTATCAACTCCTTCATTTTTCTAAATACTTTACAATGTCAAATTCAATAAGGTTATAAAAACGTCATTATCTTGCTAATGACAGTTGACAGCCCAAAACACAAACAAAAATATCATATTAAAGTCTTCTTTGCTCCACGTTTGCCACCAACGAGCGAATTTCATGAATTTTGTGCAACTTTGCTGACTCTAAATATTTGAATTCTTTGGCCTTGATCGTTGATCCTCAGCAAGAACCACGGGAAGGTCTGGAACAGGTCTTGCCAAGAATGGAAAGGGCTAGGATTTGTTAATGAGTATTTTTCTGTCATTTAAAAAAAATACGATGTAAATAGTCTATGCTTTATTGTCATAATAATTGTCACTTTTAAAAAATAAATTTTGACATACGTCATCAATGGCCGTGGTCATCATCCACATTCCAGTCTACGTCAAAATGACAAACATGGCAAATTTGAGGTTATAAGTACGTAAAGCCTGTTTTAGAGCTTATGTCACTAGAATGACAGAACTGCCCAAGATTTTGTGGCCGAAACTGTACAATAGAAATACAATATACAAGACAGGTGCAATCTAGATGCGATACAGCTACAATACAGGATATAGTACCGATACAGATACACTATAGATACAGATACAGATACACTATAGACTACTTTTAAGCCGAAACGAAGCTCCGAATGTTCCGCTGTTGCTGCCACCAGACCGAAATCAAAACTGAAGTAACTGAACACAAAGGATCGAAAAAACTTGACTTTTGCTCAGGTGGCTTACATGACAATAACGTCATCGTACGTCACGATGAGATTACAAGAATTATTTTTCATGTTTCGGCCGGAAAATTGTACATCTTTGGAGTTAATTGAATTGTTTGTAATTAATAACTTCATGTTAGTAGCAAAACGGTTTTCGGTTTAATTAAACATATTAATACTTATCGTATTTAAACAGTAAGAAATTGGTCGAAAGTTATTTCGACAGAACTTCCCTCGCCCCTGAAATGCAATAAAACAAATCCACCTTTTTCGAAAAACTTTAAAATTTTATTATGCGAATTTTATTTTTTATGAGAATCTTTATAAGTTAAAATTTTGTGATGACGTCATCAATTTTTTGGGAGGGTTTAAACGAATTAATTTTGCTTGACGATTTACCATGATTACGACAACCTTAAAATATTTATAACATTTCAGACCAATCGGTTTAGCAGTTTCAAATATATATTGCAAAATATTGTTATTCAGTTTTTAATTTTTTCCAAAAATTATGTATGTATAATAGGGTGAAAGTGTGACACGGATTTACACACCACAAGTGCAGGAGTATCTTATTTTATGAAATTTAAAAAAACTTTCTATTATTAATTTTGGAGATGACGTCATCCTATTGGTGGTGGGGATGATTATCCAAATTTTATTAAACATCTAACCATCTGTAAGATATTCCTAATATACATACAAAATGTGACAACAATCGGTCCAATAGGTTCGGAAATTACTTGTCTAATAAAAATGGATACAGACAGGCAGACAGACAGACATACGGAAACGCGAGACTACTTTTTTCGAACTCTAGAGGTCATGACACGTCGAGAAAATATGAAAGTGGCATTCGCCCAATGGACTCGATTACTATACTTCCTTAGCTTACGCTCGAGACGTAATAATGTTAATTATGTTTAAATATTGTTTATTACCTCATGATAATTTATATTTTTTTATATTTCCCGATAAATTAAAACTCTAATCGTATTTACCCCGTTTTCGGACCTTTTTGGAAAAATATCCACTTTCTTTCGTGTTCAAAGCACCAAGGAAAACATTTTCACACGTGCCAAAACGGAGCTCCGAATGCTCCGATGTTACTACCACCAGACTGAAATCAAAACTGAACACAAAGGTCCGAAAAACGCGACCTTTGCTCAGGTGTTTCACGTGACAGTGACGTCATCGTACGTCACGATGAGATTGCAAACATTATTTTTCATATTTTGGTCGAAAAATTGCACATTTTTGGGGTTAATTTAACAGTATTTAAACAAAATGAATTGTTTTTAATAACTTCATGTTTGTAGGAAAACGGTTTAATTAGGTTTAAATATTATTTAATTATATCATGATAATTTATCAGCCGCGTTTGCATGAATTGATTTCACTAATAACACAGGCCTACATTTAAAAAAAATTGTTTTCAATTTGATAGCTGGTTCTTCTGTATTTTGGGGTATAAGACTGATTTTGGCAGATGACATATCCTGTAAGAAAAGAGAGGATGGGTGGGCGGGGCTAGTACCTGGTAGGATAAAACTGATTTTTGAACCTCAAGATTGTTTAAAATTTTTCAGAAAAAAACGGGGTCTCAAAATGAACTCAAAAGCAGCTCAAGTTTGAATTTTTAACTATTCTTTGTTAATTAATTGCAACTGAATGTCAAACTATGCAAAACTGAAACTACAAAGAAAGTATTTAGTTGCAGAGAGCTTGATAGAGTTCAGAGTATTTTTTGAGGTTAGCTATAAATTATGGTTAACTTTCGGAATTTTAAAAATGCTATATATCGAAAGCCTGTTCGGGAGGTTGAGAATTTTTGCTGTTATTATAACTGGCTATTTTTTACAATAAAATTTAACTATGCTGGGGATCTATTAAGTACCGTTAGTCAATAGTTGGTTGTTACGTGATTAACCACCAGTTATTGATTTATTATTCCTTTATTTAACTAACTATAAGTATTTATTACTTTTGGTGGTACATACTGTTTTTAAGGGGATACGATGAACGAGAATGTTATTGAGAATTTTTAACTATGTCCTGATAATTAAACTTATTTGAATGCCAAAATAATGAATAATGGTTAACTCTAACAATAAAATTTAACGTTGCTGAGAACTTAATTAATATACTTAAGTACAAGTACCTAAATTAGTTAGTTTGTTGTTAATTTTGCTTTACATTTTTGACTGGTACAAATATTTTCATAGTTTTATATACAGGGTGAGTCACTAAGTCTGCAGTCCTCGATATCTCATTAATTATTAGAGATGGAAAAAAGATCAAAGACTAAAGTTATACGGCTCTTTTAGTAGCATGCACTAACATTATTTCTGAATATACAGAGCGTTTTATTTTCGAGACATAGCATACAACTTTTGTTAACAGAATACCCTACATATTATTTTTATATTATTCCATTTTTTTTTAATTTGTTTAGCTATGCAAGCGTTCACAAAAAAACTACATTATTTTTAAGATCTGTGTGGCAATGGCAATATACATTGTTTTTCAAAAAATACTTTATAATTTTCAAATTTTAGCTTATTTCAATAGAACACTCTGTACTTTATTACTGTAGCTTATACTCTATTTTTTGTTACCTTTTTCAATGTCCCTAGAAAAGTAAAAAAATACAAGAAACAGAATAAGTAATACAGGGTGTTGTCGTTAGAAAACTGAAATATCGATAGATAAGTATTTGAAAATAGGTATAACTTAATAAACACTCTGTATATTAAAACCCAATTTTATTTATGTTACAATAAAGCGCGTATTATTATTTATCTCTACATAAAATATACTAACCCATATTTTAAAAATGAGCAAATTGCGTTTTTTTGTGAACTCTTTTAGTGGTAAAAAATTCCAAGAAAATTGAAATAACTTGGCAACGTCGCATCGAAATTTCGAAAATCAACCATGCTTACAAAGCCTAAGAGAGGTCAATCGGTATATACTTATAGTATATATTAAAGTATATTTATATATATTTCCCTTTAAAAAACTATGTTACGCCTTAAAAACGGAACACTACCTGGAAAATGGAGAATTAACTCTTCAGTACGTTATGTTACAGTACTTGCTAAGATAAAACTGATTTTGGCAAATAACATACCCTCTAAAAAAACAGGGTGGGTGGGCGGGGTTAGTAGCTACTAAGATAAGACTGATTTTGGCAGATGAAGTACCCTTTAAGAAAAGAGAGGGCGGGTGGGCGGGGCTAGTACCTGGTAAGATTAAACTGATTTTGGCAAATCACATACCCTCTAAGAAAAGAGAGGGTGGATGGGCGGGGCTAGTACTTGCTAAAATAAGAACGATTGTGGCAAATGACATATCCTGTAAGATAAGAGAGGGTGGGCGGGCGGGGCTAGTACCTGGTAAGATAAAACTGATTTTTGAACCTCAAGATTGTTTAAAATTTTTCAGAAAAAAACGGGGTTTCAAAATTAACTCAAAAGCAGCTCAAGTCTGAATTTTTAACTATTTTTTGTTAATTAATTGCAACTGAATGTCAAACTATGCAAAAGTGAAACTACACAGAAAGTATTTAGTTGTAGAGAGATTGATAGAGTTCAGAGTATTTTTTGAGGTTAGCTATAAATTATGGTTAACTTTCGGAATTTTAAAAATGCTATATAACGAAAGCCTGTTCGGGAGGTTGAGAATTTTTGCTGGTATTATAACTGGCTATTTTTTACAATAAAATTTAACTATGCTAGGGATCTATTAACTACCGTTAGTCAATAGTTAGTTGTTACGTGATTAAGCACCAGTTATTGATTTATTATTCCTTTATTTAACTAACTATAAGTATTTATTACTTTTGGTGGTACATAATGTTTTTAAGGGGATACGATGAACGAGAATGTTATAGAGAATTTTTAACTATGTCCTGCTAATTAAACTTATTTGAATGTCAAAATAATGAATAATGGTTAACTGTAACAATAAAATTTAACGTTGCTGAGAACTTAAATACTATACTTATGTACACGTACCTAAATTAGTTAGTTTGTTGTTAATTTTGCTTTACATTTTTGACTGGTACAAATATTTTCATAGTTTTATATACAGGGTGAGTCACTAAGTCTGCAGTCCTCGATATCTCATTAATTATTAGAGATGGAAAAAAGATCAAAGACTAAAGTTATACGGCTCTTTTAGTAGCATGCACTAACATTATTTCTGAATATACAGAGCGTTTTATTTTCGAGACATAGCATACAACTTTTTTTAACAGAATACCCTACATATTATTTTTATATTATTCCATTTTTTTTTAATTTGTTTAGCTATGCAAGCGTTCACAAAAAAACTACATTATTTTTATGATCTGTGTGGGAATGGCAATATACATTGTTTTTCAAAAAATACTTTATAATTTTCAAATTTTAGCTTTTTTCAATAGAACACTCTGTACTTTATTACTGTAGCTTATATTCTATTTTTTGTTACCTTTTTTTCAATATGTCCCTAGAAAAGTAAAAAAATACAAGAAACAGAATAAGTAATACAGGGTGTTGTCGTTAGAAAACTGAAATATCGATAGATAAGTATTTGAAAATAGGTATAACTTAATAAACACTCTGTATATTAAAACCCAATTTTATTTATGTTTCAATAAAGCGCGTATTATTATTTATCTCTACATAAAATATACTAACCCGTATTTTAAAAATGAGCAAATTGCGTTTTTTTTGTGAACTCTTTTAGTGGTAAAAAATTCCAAGAAAATTGAAATAACTTGGCAACGTCCCATCGAAATTTCGAAAATCAACCATGTTTACAAAGCCTAAGAGAGGTCAGTCGGAATATACTTATAGTATATATTAAAGTATATTGGGTATTCCCTTTAAAAAACTATGTTACGCCTTAAAAACAGAACACTACCTGGAAAATGGCGAATTAACTCTTCAGTACGTTATGTTACAGTACTTGCCAAGATAAAACTGATTTTGACAAATAACATACCCTCTAAAAAAAGAGGGTGGGTGGGCGGGGCTAGTAGCTGCTAAGATAAGACTGATTTTGGCAGATGAAGTACCCTCTAAAAAAAGAGAGGGCGGGTGGGCGGGGCTAGTACCTGGTAAGATAAAACTGATTTTGGCAAATCACATACCCTCTAAGAAACGAGAGCGTGGGTGGGCGGGGCTAGTACTTGCGAAAATAAGAACGATTTTGGTAGGATAAAACTGATTTTTGAACCTCAAGATTGTTTAAAATTTTTCAGAAAAAAACGGGGTCTCAAAATGAACTCAAAAGCAGCTCAAGTCTGAATTTTTAACTATTTTTTGTTAATTAATTGCAACTGAATGTCAAACTATACAAAACTGAAACTACAAAGAAAGTATTTAGTTGTAGAGAGTTTGATAGAGTTCAGAGTATTTTTTGAGGTTAGCTATAAATTATGGTTAACTTTCGGAATTTTAAAAATGCTATATAACGAAAGCCTGTTCGGGAGGTTGAGAATTTTTGCTGTTATTATAACTGACTACTTTTTACAATAAAATTTAACTATGCTGGGGATCTATTAACTACCGTTAGTCAATAGTTAGTTGTTACGTGATTAACCACCAGTTATTGATTTATTATTCCTTTATTTAACTAACTATAAGTATTTATTACTTTTGGTGGTACATAATGTTTTTAAGGGGATACGATGAACGAGAATGTTATAGAGAATTTTTAACTACGTCCTGCTAATTAAACTTATTTGAATGTCAAAATAATGAATAATGGTTAACTCTAACAATAAAATTTAACGTTGCTGAGAACTTAATTACTATACTTAAGTACAAGTACCTAAATTAGTTAGTTTGTTGTTAATTTTGCTTTACATTTTTGACTGGTACAAATATTTTCATAGTTTTATATACAGGGTGTATTCACTAAGTTTGCAGTCCTCGATATCTCATTAATTATTAGAGATGGAAAAAAGATCAAAGACTAAAGTTATACGGTTCTTTTAGTAGCATGCACTAACATTATTTCTGAATATACAGAGCGTTTTATTTTCGAGACATAGCATACAACTTTTTTTAACAGAATACCCTATATATTATTTTTATATTATTCCATTTTTTTTAAATTTGTTTAGCTATGCAAGCGTTCACAAAAAAACTACATTATTTTTATGATCTGTGTGGCAATGGCAATATACATTGTTTTTCAAAAAATACTTTATAATTTTCAAATTTTAGCTTTTTTCAATAGAACACTCTGTACTTTATTACTCTATTTTTTTGTTACGTCTGTAGCATAAGCTGGAATTTTGAAAGTTTCACATTCCAGCTGTCCGAAATAATGACAATAAAGCATTAAAATTTTTGACATGACAGAAAAGTGATATTTGAAATTGTAGATACTGGTGAAAAACTGGATAAAGAAATTGGTAAACAAAAATAGTTTCGTGTAAAACTCTTATTAAACATTGTCTAAATAAGAATTCGTCTATTTTACACAATTCTCCCATCAATATTAAACTTCTCGAGTTCTCAACCACCTTGTGCGAGTCCGTCCCTGCCCCTCAAACGTCATACGTCACTTGTCACTCCGGTCACTCCTGTCACTCGGTTGTCATGCCCACAAACATGTAAACATAACCGATTAACATTTTCTAATTTCGCGGACCCCGTCCTCGCCCCCACAAAATGTACATCGTGTGGTGGTTCTTCTCCTACTACCTTCGCCCCATCATCAAATGGTTCCTCCGCAAAACCACCGGCCTGTGCGAACTCCAACGAATCTGCTACGGCAAAGTCATCGGGGCCCCACGCACGAACGCCGTCGAGTACTCCCTAACCATGTCAAAGTCGCCCCAAATCCGCCAACTCATCCAACACCTCAACGACGTCAGCGACAACACCAGGTTCACTGGACTCAACCAGAAGGAACTGACCACCGGGGCCTTAAACACCGTAATGATTGTCAAAAAAATCAACCCGAAAATACACTTCCAGTTCGTGATTAATTTCACGCAGTGCGTGGAGCAGGTGTGGGGGTACAGGCAACTGGTGGCTGAAGTGGAGGAGTTGAGGAGGACTACGTATGACGCGGACGATTTTACCCATGAGAGGAAACTGTACGATTTGTGGGAGAAGTTGATGCCGGATGAGGCGCTAGAGGGGCGCATTACGAAGCAGTGGCAGTATATAGGGTTCCAGGGGGATGACCCGAAGACGGATTTCAGAGGGATGGGGTTATTAGGGTTGGAAAATCTTCTAGCGTTTGCTACAGATTATCAAGATGCGGCTTCCTATGTGTTATCACATTCCCATCATCCGGTTTATGGATACGCGTTTGCTATAGTGGGGATTAATCTAACGAGTTTGGCGTGGAATTTACTTAAGCAGGGGAACGCAAAGACTTATTTTTTTAACATGAGTAAGGGTTTTCCCACAATGAAACTTTTCCACCAGTTTTATAGTTACTTGTTTTATGAGTTTGATAAGTACTGGATTGAGTGTAAACCAAAGGACATTATGGAGTTTTCTAGTATTAAAGACAGTTTTGAGTGTAATATTAGGAACGCGTTGCAGGATCCTACGGCTGTTTTTAGGATTAATTTCAGTGTTGACACGATTTAGTTAGGGTTTGTGATATTAGTGTGACGCTTTTAATGCCATGTTTACACTTTTCGAATTATGGAAGCAAAAATTAAATAGCAATAAGTAGATTTGTAAATATTTTGTATTTTTTGCTGGATGTGTGTTTCTTGCTAAGATTTTTTTAACTAGAAATATATAGTTGGTAGTTTTTTGGAAAATGAAACTCTCTAGGCTAAGAACACCGTGATGGTTCTGAACATTCTAAATAAAGCAAAATTTTTAAAACGCTGTTTTTTTTTTTAATTTTATAACTAATCTTGAGACTCGGAAGTCACCCCTTCCAAAAAATCGGTGACGTTATTTCAAAATTTTCTTAAATGTCACTTGACTTGTGACAGTGACCAAAAACTCCAAAAATGAATGAAATAAAGCTACAACATATTTTTAAAAGTCACTACGTTGCATCACCAATCACCTGTCCCAAACCCAAAACATTTTTAAGTCTATTTGGTACGACGCCAAATGACGTCATCGGAATTTCAACGCAAGATTCCCGAACTGACGTCACTTGACGTCACACCGATCGATTTAATATTGGAACACGTTGAACGTGACCAGCGTCGGTTTCTACGATCTACTGAAGAACAAAATCTGTGAACTGAAACACGAAAACTACCAAATCGACGTTTCGACACCTGCCTTTACACCCGACCGGTTTTCGTGTATTTAATACTTTTAATTAGGAGCACGTGACCGCGAGTCACAGGTTTCTAAACAAACGCATTGCTATTCCTAGCGCGTTCTATATATTTATTAACGTTACCGATTTGTCCTTAGTACAAAAAAATGTAGGTCAAGTCGAATAAAGCGAAGGAAATTCAGCGAAATCAGGTCAGTTTTCTTTTGGTTATGCAACCAATATGACGTTGCGTCGTTCCGTAGTGGACGGTCGTTCGGTTGGGTTCAATCGAGAAAATTTCCATTTTTTCCTTTTCGATTTTTCGACATACAGTTTTTCAATTCTGCGATTTTTCAAACTTCCGAATTTTCATGTTCTCGATTTTTCAATTTTTCCATTCTTCAGTTCTTAGATTTTTCGATGTTCGTATTTTCAATTTCTTTACTTTTCCATTTTCAGTTTTCCGTTTTAGTTTTTAAGTCGAAAAAATGAAAAATGGAGAAATGATAAAACTGAAAAATTGAAAAATTCAAAAACCAAAAAAATCGAGAAATCGGAAAGTCGAGGGAGAATCCAAAAAATGAAAACGGAAAAATTGAGAAATCGCGAAATTGAAAAATCAAAATATCCAAAAATCGAAAAATCTAATAGTCGAGAAGTCGGAAAAGTCAGAAATGGAGAAGTCGAAAAATTTTCGGTTTCTCGATTTCTCGTTATTTTGATTTTTCGACCTTTCGATATTGCAATTTGCAGTTTTCGAAATTTCTAATTTTAGATTTTTCCATTTATAGAATTTTAGATTTTTCAATATTCAAATTTTCAATTAATCTCTTTTTCGATTTTTCGACTTTCAGTTTTTCAATTCATCAATTTTTCAAACTTCCGAATTTTCACAATTTCGATTTTTCAATTTTTCCATTCTTCAGTTCTTAAGACTTTTCAATTTCTTTGCTTTTCGATTTTTCGATATTCGAATTTTCAATTTCAAGAAGAATCATAATAATAAAAAATTCCAAAATTCGATCTCCAAAACTTGATTAATCCATAAATCGAAAAATTGAAAAAGTAAAACTGAGATATCGAAAATTGCAAAAGCTAGAAATCGAAATTGAGGAATAATCGAAAATATGAAAATGGAAAAATCGAGAAATCGGGAAATTAAAAAGCCGAGAAACTGAAACACCGAAAAATTGAGCAATGGAGAAATGTGAAATTCAAAATGTCCAAAAATCGAGAAATCTAATAGTCAAAAGGTCGAGAAGTCGAAAAATCGAAAAGCCCGAAAAACTGAGCAATCGAGGAATGGGAAAATCAAAATATCGTAAAGTCGAGAAGTCGGAAAAGACGGAAATGGAAAAGTCTAAAAAATTACAAAATCGAAAAATCTGTTGATCAAAAAATCGAAGATTTAGAAACACCAAAAACTGGAGTATTCAAAAATCGAAAAATTTTAAATTGAAGAAAAATTGAAGAATAGAAAGCTGAAAAACTGCAAAACTGAGATGGGAAAAATTAAAAAAGTCGATAAATAATCGAAAATATGAAAATCGAAAAACTGGGAAGTCGAGACACCGAAACACGGAAAAATTGAACAATCGAGAAATAGGAAAATCAAAATATCGAAAAATCAAAACATCTAATAGTCGAAAATCGAGGAATCGAAAAGTCGAAAAATCAATGAATCTAAAAACTGGTCGATAGAAAAATAGAAAATTTAGAAATTAAAATTAGAAATTTTCGGTTTTTCGATAATCGAATTTTTTAAATTTCTACCTGACCTGACTTGAGGCCTGATTCGTTGAATTTTCGATTTTTTAGTATTCGAATTTTCAATATTTCCTTTTCGATTTTCAATTCTTCGACTTTTCAAACTTTAGAAATTTCGCGTTCTCGATTTTTCGATTTTTCCATTCTTCAGTTCTTAAGACTTTTCAATTTCTTTCTTTTCGATTTTTCGATGTTCGTATTTTCAATTTTTTTGCTTTTCCATTTTCAGTTTTCCGTTTTAGTTTTTAAGTCGAAAAAATGAAAAATCGAGAAATCTAAAAACCGAAACATCGAAATCTGGATAATTCGAAAAATCGAAAAATGATAAAACTAAAAAATTGAAAAATCCAAAAACCAAAAAAATCGAGACATCGGAAAATCGAGAGAGAATCCAAAAAATGAGAACGGAAAAATTGAGAAATTGCGAAATTGAAAAGCCCAGACGGTGAAACATCGGAAAATTGAGCAATGGAGAAATGGAAAAATCAAAATATCCAAAAATCGAAAAATTTAATAGTCGAGAAGTCGGAAAAGTCAGAAATGGAGAAGTCGAAAAATTTTCGGTTTCTCGATTTCTCGTTATTTTGATTCTTCGACTTTTCGATATTGCAATTTTCAATTTTCGAAATTTCGAATTTTCGGTTTTTCCATTTATAAAATTTTCGATTTTTCAATATTCAAATTTTCAATTAATCTCATTTTCGATTTTTCGACTTTCAGTTTTTCAATTCGTCAATTTTTCAAACTTCCGAATTTTCACAATTTCGATTTTTCAATTTTTCCATTCTTCAGTTCTTAAGACTTTTCAATTTCTTCGCTTTTCGATTTTTCGATATTCAAATTTTCAATTTCAAGAAGAATCATAATAATAAAAAATTCCAAAGTTCGATCTCCAAAACTGATTAATCCATAAATCGAAAAAGTGAAAAAGTAAAACTGAGATATCGAAAATTGCAAAATCGAGAAATCGAAAATCGAGGAATAATCGAAAATATGAAAATGGAAAAATCGAGAAATCGCGAAATTAAAAAGCCGAGACGCTGAAACTCAGAAAAATTGAGCAATGGAGAAATGTGAAATTCAAAATGTCCAAAAATCGAAAAATCTAATAGTCAACAGGTCGAGAAATCGAAAAATCGGAAAGCCCGAAAAACCGAGCAATCGAGGAATGGGAAAATCAAAATATCGTAAAGTCGAGAAGTCGGAAAAGTCGGAAGTGGAAAAGTCTAAAAAATTACAAAATCGAAAAATCTGTTGACCAAAAAATCGAAGATTTAGAAACACCAAAAACTGGAATATTCAAAAATCGAAAAATTTTAAATCGAAGAAACATTGAAGAATAGAAAACTGAAAAACTGCAAAACTGGAACGTCGAAAAACTGAGATGGGGAAAATTAAAAAATCGAGAAATCGAAAAGTCGATAAATAATCGAAAATATGAAAATCGAAAAACTGGGAAGTCGAGACACCGAAACACGGAAAAATAATTGAGCAATCGAGAAATAGGAAAATCAAAATATCGAAAAATCAAAACATCTAATAGTCGAAAATCGAGGAATCGAAAAGTCGAAAAATCAAAAAATCGAAAAATTGGTCGATAGAAAATAGAAAATTTAGAAATTAAACAATCGAAAAATTGAAAAATCGGAAAATAGAGAAATCAAAAAATAAAATAATGGAGAAATTTTCAAAATTTCGAATTTTCGATTTTCCATTTATCGAATTTTCTGTCTTTAGATATTTGAATTTTTTAAATTTCTACCTGGCCTGACTTGAGGCCTGATTCGTTGAATTTTCGATTTTTCAATATACGAATTTTCAATATTTCCTTTTCGATTTTCAATTCTTCGATTTTTCAAACTTTCGAATTTTCGCGTTCTCGATTTTTCGATTTTTCCATTCTTCGGTTCTTAAGAATTTTCAGTTTCTTTCTTTTCGATTTTTCGATGTTCGGATTCTCAAGTTTTTTCTTTTCCATTTTCAGTTTTCCGTTTTAGGTTTTAAGTCGAAAAATTGAAAAATCGAGAAATCTAAAAATCGAAACATCGAAATCTGGATAATTCGAAAAATCGAAAATCGATAAAACTGAAAAATTGGAGAATTTAATAGCCAAAAAATGGAAACATCCAAAAACCGAAAAATCTAAAAACGAGAAACCAAAGAAATTAACGTAACAAAGAATTGAAGAATCATAATAATTAAAAAATCCTAAAATTCGATCTCCAAAAATTGTTCAATCGATTAATCGAAAAATTGAAAAAGAAAAACGGAGATATTAAAAATTCCAAAATCGAGAAATTGAAAATCCAGGAAGAATCGAAAATATGGAAATGGAAAAATCAAGAAATCGTGAAATTGAAGAGCCGAGACGCTGAAACATCGAAAAATTTAACAATGGAGAAACGGAAAAGTCAAAATATCCAAAAATCGAAAAATCTAATATTCAAAAGGTCGAGCAGTCGAAAAATCGAAAGGCCAAAAAATTGAGCAATCGAAGAATGGGAAAATCAAAATATCGAAAAATCGAAAACTGAGAAGTCGGAAAAGTCAGAAATAGAAAAGTCTAAAAATTTTTGGTTTCTCGGTTTCTCGTTATTTTGATTTTTCGATATTGCAAATTTTCAATTTTCGAAATTTCGATTTTTCCATTTGTAGAATTTTCGATCTTTGAATATTCGAATTTTTCGACCTGACCTAACCTGATTCGTTAAATTTTCGATTTTTCAATATTAAAATTTTCAATTAGTCTCCTTTTCGATTTTTCGTCTTTCAGTTTTTCAATTCGTCAATTTTTCAAACTTCCGAATTTTCACAATTTCGATTTTTCAATTTTTCCATTCTTCAGTTCTTAGACTTCTCATTTGAAACCAAAAAACTGAAACATCAAAAACCGAAAAATCAAAAATAAAAAAAATATTTCACGTAATCGGGACAGTTCTCTATATTATTATCAGTGTGAAATATTTTTCATCATTCATGATGATTCCTCTGTTGTTGATGTTCTTGGCACTTCTTTCCTTTACGATACTTCAGAACTTTTTTTTTAACTTCTCGACTGAACCAAACAAAAACCAGTTTTGAATAATTTGGCAAAAGTCGAAATTGATCCCAAAATGCAAGTTCACTTTGAAATTTAAATAATTGTTCCTGGCTTGGCGGTTTAAAGTTAATTTGTTATCAAAATCATAATAACCGTGTTGTTGGTATATTGTTGGTTGCCTAGTCATATTTTTTTTCTGAATAAATAAGACAATAAAAACTTAATTAAAGTGTAGTAATGTTAGAAAAATGTTATGTCTATAATTCTGTGATTATAGGCAAACCTGCTAACAATTTGTAACAATGAGATATAAAATTGGAACTTCTGCAACCCTGATCTCATGTAGGTAAATGATAGATTTCGAATTATTGTTGATATATTTTTTTCTAGCGTAATAACGTAAAACAATAGTAACTGTATCCGATGAAGGAATTTTCTTGATGACGTAAGTAGATATTTTAATGATATCACTGCGAATAACAGAGAAACATAGCATTCATCTGGCGCATCCACCATTCTTAGACACCGAGTGACTACCAATGTTTGTTTTTTCAGATTGGCAACATATTTTAAAATTTTGTGATGTCACACCTGATTGTCAAACTGGTCTGACCTGACCTGACTGACCTCAATTCAGAATTACCAACACAAAAATTTGCTTCATTTATTAATTATTTATTCTTTGAATGGACAGATATAAACGGAAGTTTTCTGCTTTCTGCTTCATTCTACAGCCGATTTATATTCATTGAGTGACGTTTCTAATTTGTAATTTAGAAACATTTATATAAAACCGATAACACCTGCAATTCCGAGAAACTACTTTATTAATAAAACCTTGGATAAAAAGCTATGTCAAAGTGAAAATATTTTTAATATTTAGGATGATGTCAGGAAATCGTGGATGACGTAAGAATCTTTGGGACTATTTCCAAACATTGACGTCACTTTGACGTCATAACAAATCGATGCAAATAAATGTTTTTCGACCGTGACCAGTATTTCTTTTTTTGAAGTTTGTAAATGAAAAACTGTGTAGTGAAATTGTTTATTTATATTTTTCTTGATTTTATGTTATATTTAAAAGCAAGAAGGTTGGTATTTAGATTGTTTTTATTTGTGAGTGAGCGAAGACAAACAGTAATTAATATTATGAACATTTGTCTGTCTATATTTATATCGTTATCAGTTTGCCCTTAACACAGAAATATGTAGGTCAAATCCGGCTGAAATCAGGTCAGTTCCTGCTGGTTATGCAACCAGCTTGACAGTAGTCGTCGTTCCGTAGTTCAGCGTGACACTCGAGTTGGAATCAAACCGACGATTTATTGTTTTGATGTTGTTTTTAGATTGTAACTGCACTGAAATTGTCGTGTTATTACAATAAAAGTGTGGTCAGTTTTTCTGTGTTTGATTCGAATTCTAAGAGAAAATCGGAATCGCTCCCGCCGTCTCGTCCGGTTGACGGAACGCTTCGTCACGTGAGCGCTCATCCCTCCTTTTCAGTGACGTAGATGGCAGCCACTCGCAGTTTCCCGTAAAATAATTTCCTTGCTCTTGGAGGAGCAACCCGCACCAAGTACATGGTAATGTACTCGCCGAAAATTCCTGTTGGAAAAATCCGGGCGTAAGTCGCAATTTCCATGGGAAAACCTCCAGGAAAGCTCCTCGAGGCCCGCCAGCCTCGGTCTCGCAGCAGCCATTTATGACCTCAAACGGGCTCGGCCGTAGCTTCTGTCCAGAAGAAATCCGCGCCGATTTCGGCAGATCCGGCCGTTTTTGGTCGAAAAACGACTTTTCCGGGGGCCGCGGGCGCCGAGGATGCCAAATCCGGTGGTATTTTCCCGAAATTAGTCGAGATTGAAGTGTTGGAGGCGAGTCTCGGCGTTGCGCGAGCCAAGCCAGCCGCCATCACAGTGCGCTTGGTGAGCAGATTCGCCGTGAGTGGTGTGTGTGTTGTGTTGCTCTGCATTTTTCCCGATTCTCATGCGGATTAGACAGCGAAAAGTGCAGGTACTGGCCCAGGACGTCGCCCCAGCGCCCCGCTACCCCCCAGTGCACTTCTTTTCCGAAAAAACCCCGTCCCGGAGCGCAAATCCGTCCAAAACGCGCCGAGCCACCGAGGAAAGCCTAGAGAGCCAACCCGCCATATTGTAAAACCTAAAATCGCCGATTTCTCGCTGTCGGAGGCGCTTTCCGCCGCGAAAACGCCGTTTTCCGCGCTTTTCCACGCCAGATTTGAGGTTACTGCTGTTTTCCCGCCCAGAAACGCGAAAACGCCGACGATACGAGGCACCATTTTGCCGCCGAGGCAGCCCCTCACGGCACCCTAGATCCTTCCTCGGGGGGTGTGGCGTGCATCTGTCAAACTTGCGATTATAACCACAATTTCTCACAATGCCAATGCGACAGCCCCCATGCTCACGACGTTTCTGCTTCCAGACGATGATGCGCGCTGCCTACTAGGATGTGCTCCCGAAGCATGGGATTGCTCTTCGATGCTCCAATTTGTCGCAGCAGCTGATCGGTGAATTGGGTCACAATTAAATTTTCTGCGTCTGGTGAGTCCCTTTATAACTTTACCCAAAAGTTGCACAATGTTGCCTGATAACGAGTGATTCAGTATGCTCATGTAAGTGGGGGTGTGCTATATAAAAGTCTTACTTTCACAGGTAGAGATGCTCAAAATTTTATTCTTCTTTGATTAAGAGTGATTTTCGCGCGAAAAAATGTTTTTGTTTTGATTGGATTTTCAAGGGGACACCTACGGATTGGGTTAAGTGGGGGAAAGTAAGTATGTTAGATATTTGTCATGCTTTTTTATTTATTTTTGTTTTATCTCTTTCTTTTCAGTTGTAGAGGAACGGTTATGTAGGTTTTCTACTGTTACCGTTTTTTCTCTAGTTCTTCTTTCATCACTTATTATGGATCTTACATGAGCTTACTAAATCAATAAATTTTTCTATTTCTCATAGTTGGAATTTTATTTTTAGATTAGAAAGTGGAGGGTTTTTGGAATTGAAGAGATTTCTTGCATATTACTGATGAGTTCAAACTTTATCAATTTTATTTATTTTTCATTAAATTGAACACACCATTATTACAATTTTTCAAATATATCAAAAAACACAAAAACTAATTATACATAAGGTTTCAAATTTAACACTTGCCTTGATTTTGTAAATATTTATTGGACAAGTTTTGTCTTGTACTATTAAAACACCAATCTCAATATACCTAGAGCAAAAGTGGGCGTGTTTTAAGCTGCAGTGTTCCTACTTAAGTTGAGGTGAGTTTTTCCAACTGAAAACAGTGGTTGCTTAAAAGTAAAAAATGTAAGTTTCATTTACTTTAGAATAATTCATTTTCAATGAAGATAATTTGCCTTCTTTAAGTATGTTGTTACAGTTCAATCTAGTACAACCATTTTGTATCATGTAAACTGCAATTTTTTAAATTAATTAATTTGTTAAATTGGTAGCCCTGCTAAAAATAAAAATATTTTAACGTTAATATGTTCAAAATAAGTTGCAAAAATGTAACTAAACAATACCTGATCAAACACAAAGATAAAGATTTTTAAACTGATTAGTTAATTAAGTTGGTAACCCTGTCATAGACATTAATTAACAAACAAACATTTAAATGAAAAACTTGCATAAGTGTTAAAAGTATAACTAAATGAATTTAAAAAGTGGAATAATCGAAATATGTAAAATGTGCCCTATGTAAGAGAGAAATAAAGGTTCTGAATGCATTTTTACCAATTAAAATACTAAATACTAGAAAAATGAACAGTTGTTAATTAAATACTGAAATACAGGGTGTTCGCTAATGTCCTGTTTTTTGTTACACATTTCGTCGTGTTCCTAGAATTACTGTCATACAGAATTTTAAAATCAGCCAACTTGACTTGAAATTATCAAAAACAATACAAGCATTTTCCACACAGTATCTGAATGAATTTAGTTTGTTTGGTAGAAGTTCATTTAATTTTGGCATTTTGTGCTTAATTAGTTTGTTTGTATGTGTTTGGTGTTTTTGTAATTAATGTAAAATGTTCTCCAGTTCTGTTCTTAAATCTATACGATGAGTCACCACTCCAACAAAAGAAGAATCCGATACGGGATGTATTTAGTTTCGTCTTATCTCCTTCAGCAAACAAATAAATATTTCCAAGAAATATTCATCCCTCTAATCATGTTTAAGAACTCATTACGGGACGCATTAACATAATGATCGGAGTGGTAGGTATGAAGTATGTCGTTTCTTGTTGCGTTAGCGTCCTTCAGACTTTCAGTGTAGCAGAAGCACGAGTTAGTGAAACACGTGCAGAGATAAAGTGAAACGTATGTCTGTGATACGTATTGTTTTATACACGAGGGATTGCAATTCCACAAAATAGTGTTCTCTTTGTAAAAAACGTGTCATAGTTGTTTTTTGGATTTTGAAAAGGGAGGTTTTTGTGCAAGTGTTCACTGCCGAAAGCGATTTGTAGGGTTCATTATCCCTTCAGGTAAACCGCCATTAGAGGTACATTTTCTAATCACCTCATCAGTTTTGTGCATACTCTCTTCGATGCGCGCGCAGGCTTCTTAGTTGAGCCTGTTGTGACCATTGTGGCCATTTTTCCTGTGTTCTTGTATCGTGTCTGAGTACTTGTGGTTTGTGGAGTTTTGGCGGCTAAACTAAGTTGATGCATTCAATGCAAGTGGTTCATTCGGCTAGTTATTTTATCGTTTAATTTTTGTTTTATTTTGTTTTAGAAAATATTGTGACAAAATGCAGCAAGTTGAGCCTCCTATTCAAAACAACACAGTAAGTTTTTGATTTTTGTTTGTTGTGTTTTTGCGGTCGTGTTTATGTTGACTGAGGTACTGAAAATTTCGGTCGTGAGTATAAATTCATTTGTGAATCTTGATTTGTTTATCCCCTCTAGAAAGTTGATGGCGTCATATCGAGTGTTTTGATAACGAAAGTTTTAACTAGGAAAATTTTCATTGAAACATACGCAAGGTAAAAGATATTAAATCTATTTCCAGAATCATAGTTTTAGTCGGGACGTAAACATTTTTTATTACCGAAAATTGAGGTATCTCGGTTGATGCGACCGTTTCACACATTCCAGTTCATTCAGTTTTGAATTTCATCGATGATTAACGTTGCCTTTATGGCCGCAACCCGATCTGATAAATAAATTTCCACGAGTTCAAAGTTGAATTCCTCGCTCTTAATCAGCACCGCATTCTAAATATCGCTCTTTTATACACTGAACGCAAAGGTATCGCTCGAAATGCCAGATGCAACAAAGTTGTAAAAAATCGCTCTTTTCAGCTCTCCCTTTCAGAAACGATCCAAGATCAAAGAGCGTTCATCTCTCGTTTTAAAGAAAAAACAGTTTCCGTCATAAAGCGACACTTTTTCTTTGTTGTTTCAGAGTGCGGCGAGCAGAATGAGTGACACAAACAACGACAGAGAGCCGCCACCTCGCATCGAGCCGGTGAATGGCGTGGTGCAACCGCCCGTCCAGCCGCCACCGGACAGACCGGGACGCGTCACCAATCAGCTGCAATTTCTGCAAAAGACCGTACTCAAGGCAGTTTGGGGACATCATTTCGCTTGGCCGTTCCGGCAGCCGGTCGATGCCAAGAAATTAAATCTTCCTGTATGTATTAATACTAGACTAGAAAAAAGTTGGTGTCATTTATGGCTTAATGACGTCAGCTGTGTAGATTTTTTCTTGAAACCGATTGCGCTTAATTTGGCACATGCGGGTTATATCAGTTTGATCCCCACCAAAATGTTGCTGACGTCACCTCAAAAGTTCCCAAGCAATTCCGGTTTAAAATTGTTAAATTATTTCACGAACACGTGTTCACTGCCAAGCTGGGTTAGAGTCGTTTTAAGTATAGTGTTCCAACTGCTGGTTCGTTTTTATGACCTTATCCTATTGTGAAGGAGTTAAGTGTTCCACAATAGCCCTCTGCCGTAAGTAATCCAGCGGTCATAAACCGTCAAGGGACCAACTGTCTACACTACACAGGGCCGTATGCGCCCGTAAACCTTTAAGGTGATTTATGGTACGGCTATTTACATTTTCAATAGAGTTCCTAATACTTGCGGTAATTGAGATTGCAGTGCCATAAAAACGAAGTCAGAGTTGGACCACTAGAAAACTTGGTTTTCTCGACGTTTCATGAACCCTAGAGTACGAAAAAAATTGTTGTTATCAAAAACCAAAAAAAAGTTCTGTCGAAATATCCTATCAATTTTTGTGTTAATGATTACTTTCAATTAATAAATTCGTTATTTAGGGAATTGTATTAAGTTGGTAACGATCTAATTTTTGATCATGATTTTGGGTTCAAGTAAGCACCCACACAGTTTATTATCGATAATTACGTACGTTCAAACGAATATTTGATAAAAGAATTTCGTACTTAAAAAATGTTGATTGCATTCACGGCTGGAAACTTTTAAGCGAATATTTCAATGAAGAATGGTATAAAAAATATCTTGATTGAATTCGCGGCTGGGTGGAGATTGTTAGAAAGATGTATTTGAGAATGAAATCTAGCAATCTTTGAATTTTAGTGTTAAAAAATGTGTTGGCAACACCGACGCGTTTCTTATTGAGTTTGACATTTTTTTTTATTGTATTGAATCACCTTTTTCAGTTGTTTGATATGATTGGTGTTTATACAAATTTATCAATTTTTTTTATATAAATTTCCTTAATGATTAATATTACTAATTCTATGCTGACAAGGTAAATGTAAAACCGAACCATAAAACATATCAACAAAATTGTTTTTTCTAAGATTCAAAATTTTGAGGTTATAATAGCATTACATTTTTCACAATATCAAAAATTTTAAAAGTTTTGCGATTTTTAAAGAAACCTTGACTCCATAATAACTTTCTAAATTACGGGAAAAAAGTATATTTTAACTGCTTATTTAATTAAAACTGTTAAATGTTTATAATAACAATAAAAAAGAGACGTTTTAAGACAAAACGTTTTTTTTTTAATGTCTGTAGTTAGTATTTATAAATTTTGTTCATGAAAAAAAAGTTTTAAAAATATATAGCTGAATAATAACCCATAAAACACAAAAAAGATGAAAAATGAATTTTTTCACAATGTAAACTGACTTTTAATTTGTCATTTTATTTGTCAAGTAGGCAATTATTAGGTTGACACATGCCTGTCAGACCTTATATAAACTATATTATTTTTTACGTAGTCGTCAAAATTCCGACAATATGGCCAAGATTTCCGAGAAATTTTTTTTATATATGCATACAGTTTAAAGTAAATATTTTGCTACAAATAACCTGTCTTTATAATATTTTGATATTTTAAAGATCCCGCAGTGACTACGATTAAGATTCGGCGCAGTCCTGTACATGTAGTTTATGACTCCGTGTTGAGTTCTTACCCGAAACGTCCAGAAATTTTTCAATTTAATTTTGAATCTGCCAAACTCAATGCTTTGAAATCTTGCAGATGTTTTCAAATTATGGTGAGCATAATTTTTTAATAAAAAAAATTTTGCCTGATAAATATTACCTAAAATATGCAATATATGATCAGTCTATATTTGTGATTTATCACTGCATTCATTTTGTTTAGATTTGCTTAGACAGGGTGATCAAAAAAATTAATGACTGAATTGTTAAAAAATAAACATCCAATCAGACTTAGGAATTTAACTCGTTACTATGGAAATTTGCACTTTAACAACTTTTAAATTTAACAAGTTTTTATAAATTTAATAGGGGCAAAATCAGTCTTATCTTAGCAAGTGCTAGCCCCGCCCACCCACCCGTGTTTTCTTAGAGGATATGTCATCTGCCAAAATCAGTCTTATCTTACCAAGTATTAGGCCCGCCCACCCGCCCAATAATTCAATTTTCTTTCGACATTTGCCATTTTTAGTGAACCCAATTGTACAGTAAATCCAATTTGACAAATCTGTTAAATATTTGTCACTATTTTGACACAAAATTTTTGCAATGTCATTATTGTTCTAACCTATTTAAAAGTCCCGTTTAAACTAGGAAAATTCACCCTGTAATCGGTCAAACCAACTTTGACAGTTCCCGTTTTTACTGGAGCCAACTGTACTTGAATTTTTAGTTAAAAAATTAACTAGATGACGTAAAAGATTCTATCCAGGCGCTAAGTTTTGAATCTAGTGATTTTTCCATTACACTAGAAGTGTTTCAGTACTTGTGTTACTGTTTTTTTCGATTTTATAAATTTCTGTTTATTCAATTCTTCAAATTTTCAGTAGTTCGATTTTACAATGTTTCGTATTTTCATTTTTTAAGTTTCTCGATTTTTTAAATTCGTTCCAGTTTTTACATTTTTCAAAGTTTTGATTTTATGCTTTTTCGTTTTTTCATTTCAGTTTTTATAATTTTGCAGTGTTTCCATTTTTTTGATTCGAAAAATCGAAAAATTGCAAGTCAAACTGGTGAAGCGAAGAATCGAAACATTGAAAAATAGTCCCATTTAAACTAGGAAAATTCACACTGTAATCGATCATACCAACTTTAACAGTTCCCGTTTTTACTGGAGCCAACTGTACTTGAATTTTTAGTTAAAAAATTAATAAATTTTTTTAATTACACTGGAAGTATTTTAATACTTGTGTTACTGTTTTTTTCGATTTTATAAATTTTTGTTTATTAAATTCTTCAAATTTTCAATAGTTCGATTTTACAGTGTTTCGTATTTTCGTTTTTTGTTTCTCGATTTTTTAAATTCGTTATTTCCAGTTTTTACATTTTTCAAAGTTTTGATTTTATACTTTTTCGTTTTTTCATTTCAGTTTTTAGAATTTTGCAGTGTTTCCATTTTTTTGATTCGAAAAATGGAAAAATCGAAAAATTGCAAGTCAAACTGGTGAAGCGAAAAATCGAAACATTGAAAAACTAAAAATCAAGTAACATAAAATCGAAAAACATTAATTGATTGAAAAATGAACAAATTCTAAAATCGTAAAATTGGAAAGAAAATTTTTTAATACTAGGAAAATTCACACAGTAATCTGTCATATAGTGAACCAAGAGTTATAAGGTTATATGGCCATCATAAAATCATCCCATTGTGTCGAAGTTAAGTTGTTTACAATAGAAAAGGTTTTAGGGTCGTAAATAACGTGTCCACTGCAGCTCGACCGGCTCTTGTGGTTTCGTTCAGGGGCGGCTTTCACTAAATATGAAAATCCACCTCTCCACTATTTCTTTACTACCTGCAGCCGCTGAGGGTTCCGAAATAACCACTCGCTTTGAAAGCCGGCCCTGTTAAATATGAGCAAGAAATGTTTAGAAGATGATTTATTGCCAACCGGTAAGCTTAGTGCGAACCACATAAAGGGGGTATTTATTTGCGGTCAACTACTTTTATGATGGCCATATAACCTTATAGGTCTTGGTTCACTATACTAACTTTGACAGTTCCCGTTTGTAGTGGAGCCAACTGTACTTGAATTTTTAGTTAAAAAATTAATAACTTGAAGTATTATTGGGTTTGGATAGAACTAGATGACGTAGAAGACACTTTCCAGCCGCTAAATTTTGAATCTAGTGTTTTTTGCATTACACTAGAAGCGTTTTAACGCTAAATCAGACCTCGAAAAACTTTGTTCATAATAATCAAGTCAGCAGAGCCAAAAATATGATCCGAAAACCTTTGTTTTTTGTCTTGGGTGACACCCCTTTAACCCAAATCTAACAGTATTTATGAACTAACCTTGGTTGGTATAGTGGTCCAACTCTGACTTCGTTTTTATGGCACTGCAATCTCAATTACCGCAAGTATTAGGAACTCTATTGAAAATGTAAATAGCCGTACCATAATTCACCTTAAAGGTTTACGGGCGCATACGGCCCTGTGTAGTGTAGACAGTTGGTCCCTTGACGGTTTATGATCGCTGGATTACTTACGGCAGAGGGCTATTGTGGAACACTTAACTCCTTCACAATAGGATAAGGTCATAAAAACGAACCAGCAGTTGGAGCACTATACTATTTACTTTACTAATTTATGACTGCAATTAAAAATAATTGACATTTCAATGTCATTCGGACGCTCAGAGTCAGGGCTGCCAACCACCCAAATGTCACTTTCCACGACCTACGTCTGAAAGTTTTTGTTTAATTTAGATGTGACGTAACGGAAACCCTTGGAATCACACGAAAACAAATATTGTTTCCTTTTTTAAATTTATTAACAGTTTACTAAGTGTGTTTGTTTAAATTATAACCAAAGTTCGGAAAATAAGCATTAAAAATTATTAAAATAGTTTTCAAATACATCGGGACACCTGGGATATTTGAAAATATCAGGTAAATTGTGACCGTTGGTTTACCACTAACCCCACTTTTACCTGTACGCCGAACCTGTCGAACAATTCTAAGAAAAGACCCGCACCTGTTGCCTTATCGCCCGACCTAGGTTTCTACCTGACTTTCGACAAAGCCATAATCCGACACCCGGTTTTGGAAAAATACCTGACGAACAAAAATATTTCAAAGAAATTAAAATAGGAGCTTCAACGAGGCAAGTGTTCGTTAAACTCCTAGGTTTCTACCTGACTTTCGACAAAGCCATAATCCGACACCGAGTTTTGGAAAACTACCTGACGAACAAAAATATTAGAAAGAAATGAAAATACGAGCTTCAACGAGGCAAGTGTTCGTTAAACTTCGCGTTGTCGGTTGGAGATTTATGATACATTTAATAATTGTGGTTTCGTTAATGAACCTGAACAATTAAATTGCTTTCTCTAACCGCAATTAAATGACACTTTCCTCTCGAGTGTTCATCGTAAATTTTACGCTACATAATTATTGTGCACAAAACCGAATGATTATTGATTATAAAAGATCGAAGATCGAGGTGGCTTTGATTTTGTGCCGCTTCGTTATGATGGGGGTGACTGCTCATCTGTCATAAATTTCAGTCATAACCTAACTTTTTAATTTTTTTTATGTAATGTGTGACAAGTAGGCAACCCATGATTTCTTTAGCAGTTATCAAATATGATTTTTTTTTCTCCAGGACTACCATCAAATAATCCAGACGCCGATGGACTTGGGAACAATAAAAAAACGTTTGGACAATAACTACTACTGGTCGGGTAAAGAGTGCATCCAAGATTTTAATACGATGTTTACGAACTGTTACGTGTACAACAAACCGGGCGAGGACGTTGTCGTGATGGCGCAAACGTTAGAGAAAGTGTTTCTTACGAAGGTGGCCGACCTGCCGAAGGAGGAGGTAGTGGTAGCGAAGGGGGCCAAAGGGAAGAAGGGACGCGCGTCCGGAGTGGTCGGCGGCGTCGGTGCTGGACGCGGTCGACCTCCGGCAGCCGTATCGTCGACGGTCGCCACCCCAGTAGCAACATCCACAGGTAAATAATTTTCGTTCGATTTCGCTCCCCTCGTAAAACGTGAATAAAACCGTTCCCACGTGGTGGAGCTGACAGAGATCCTTGTTACAGTTATATGGCGCACGTAGTTTTACTTGTAAAATTAATTAAAACTTGTGAAAATTGAAGGGTCTGTCGGTCTACCTCTCGGCACGCAAGCCCCCCCGACCATCCCCGGCAGCACGGCGACGACGACCATCGCCCCGGCGACGACGCATTCGACCTTGCCCCCGCAGCCTCCAATCGCCCAGGCGCCCAACTACCACGTGGCGCCGCCGATCGTCAACTCCCTGGACACCACCAACAACCTGACACCGAATACAGTACTTCCCGGCAACGTCGTACCTCCGTCGCAACCCGCAAAGGTGAAAAAGGGCGTTAAAAGAAAGGCCGACACAACGACACCGACGGCAACGGCGTACGACTACAATCCACAGCTGGAGTCGTCCAAGTCGGCGAAGATATCGACGAGGCGGGAGTCGGGCAGACAGATCAAAAAACCGAGCATGGACGTCTTCGTGCCGTACCACCAGGCGAACATCACGCCGCCGATATACACGTCGACGCCACAGATGCCAGCGCACAAACCGAAGGAGAAGCTGTCCGAGTCGCTCAAGTCGTGCAACGAGATCCTGAAGGAGCTGTTCTGCAGGAAACATTCGGTGAGTGGCTTGCGTACGACTACAAATGCTCAACTGGGTCGTGTAGTTAGTTACGGTCGAGTGGCCGCGTTGCCAACATAATTATTTTAAAAATCAATTTCGTGGCCTAGTACGAAAAATAGGTCTTCCGCTTCCGTCTGTCTGAATGTCTGCCGCCTGCACCGAAGGTTAGTTTTTATTTGTGTAAAATAAGATACTACATGTATTTCAACCAATTTTTTAATATCACAATTTTCGTTTTTCCATTTTCTTTAATTTATCAATTTTTCCTGTTTCACAATTCTTCAGTTTCTCAAATTTTATTTTTTCCATTTTTCAATTTGTCGTCTCAGTTTTTCAAGTTTTTGATTTTTATTTTTCATTTTCCCACAATTTTTCGTTTTTTTATTTCTTGATTTTTTCAATGTTTTTTTCTATATTATACATTTTTGTTTATTCATTATTTCCAATTTCTCGATTTTTCAATTTTGCAATTTTTGAATTTCTCAATTATCCGATTTTCCGATTTCTTTAATTTTCAATAGTTCGATTTTACAATATTTCTTGTTTTGTGTGTTTTGAGTTTTCGATTTTTCAGTTTCTCAAATTTTCAAGTTCTTGATTTTCAGTTTTTGGATTTTTTAGTTTTTATTTTATGTTTTTTCGTTTAATTTCGGATTTTACAATGAAACATCGTAAAACTAAATCGGAATAAAATTGAAAAAACGAAAAAGTGGAACTTTGAAAGATCGAAAATTGAAAAATCGAAGAATGAAAAAGTTTTAGAATCCAATAATTGGAAAATTGAGAAATTCTAAATTTGTTAAATTGAAAAAGTGAAAAATTTTAAAGATTATAAATGCTATTAGCCACATACTAGAATGAAAATTAGAAAAATTGAGAAACTGAAAATACTAAAATTTATGAAACGAAAGATTGAAATTTCGGGAATTTTTAAATAAAAAAAAAATTGCACATCGAATGTAAAAATAAAGAAAATAGAAAACGGAAACCAAAAATTGTTAATCAAAAATTTGAAGAAATGAAAAATTGAAAACTCGATTAACTTTCAGTCGAAAAATTGTAAAACTGAAACTTGAAGAAAAAAAAAATATTAGAAATTAAAAAATTGCAACTCAAAAATTGAGGTAACGAAAAATTGAGGAATCCTATAATTAATAGAATAAAGAAAATAAAAAACCGATGCGAAAAATTAAAGATGTTCAGATTGGAAAAACGAAAATTTTGAAATTTTGAACACTGAAAAACCGAGAAGTTGAAAAAATGAAACAAAAAATTGGAAAATCCAAAAATTGAAATATCCAAAAGGTGGAAAATCGAAGAACTAAAAAAATTAATATTGATGAAACAAAATTATAAAATTGGAACATTGGAAAATGGAAAAATTGTAAAAAAAGAAAAAACTGAAATAAAAAATTGCAAATAAAAGAATTGAAGAAATGAGATCATAATCGTAAAATTGAAAAATTAAAAATCCAAAACTCGGGAAATTTTAAATACAAAAATTGCACATTGAAGAATTGTAAAAAGAAAGAAAATAAAAAACCGAAACCAAAAATTGAAAATCGAAAATTTGAAGAAATGAAATATCGTAAAATTGAAAAATTAAAAATTGAAACTCGGGAAATTTTAAATCAAAAAAATTTTAAGAAATGGAGAAACAAAAAAATTCAAAATTCAAAATTGAAAAAACAGAAAACTATAAAATCGGAACAATGAAAAATCGAAAAATTGTAAAAATAAAGAAAATAGAAAACCGAAACCAAAAATTGCTAATCGAAAATTTGAAGAAATGGAAAATGATTAACTTTAAATCGAAAAATTGTAAAACTGAAACTTGAAACAAAAAAAAAAATAGAAATCCAAAAATTGCAAATCAAAAATTGATGTACCGGAAAATTGAATCCTATAATTAATAAAATGAAGAAAATAAAAAACCTATGGCAAAGCGAAAAATTTGAAACAAAAAAATTGCAAAATCCAAAAATTTTGAAATATCCAAAAGGTCGAAAATCGAAGAACTAAAAAATTTGAAAATAAAAAACTCGAAGGTACATTCGTAAAATTAAAGAAATGAAAAATTAAAGCATCGAACTATTGAAAACTCGGGGAATTTTAAATAAAAAAATTGCACATTGAAAAATCTAAAAATTGTTATCTTTAACAATTAATTATCTTAAACGATTATTATTTTCTCATTTCTTAATGAGAAAATAATAATCGTAAAATTAAAAATCGAAAACTTGCGAAATTTTAAATAAAAAAATTGCACATCGAAAAATTGTAAAAAGAAAGAAAATAAAAAAAAGAAACCAAAAATTGCAGTTTGAAGAAATGAAATATAAATATCGTAAAATTGAAAAATTAAAAATTGAAACTCGGGAGATTTTAAATCAAAAAATTGCAAAATTTTAAGGAATGAAGAAACAAAAAAAATTCAAAATTCAAAATTGAAAAAATTTAAATTGATTAAACAGCAAACTATAAAATCAAAAAATTGTAAAAATAAAGAAAATAGAAAACCGAAACCAAAAATTGCTAATCGAAAATTTGAAGAAATGGAAAATGGAAAACTCGATCAACTTTAAATCGAAAAATTGTAAAACTGAAACTTGAAGAAACAAAAATTAGAAATTCAATAATTGCAAATCAAAAATGGAGGTAACGAAAAATTGAAGAATCCTATAATTAATAAAATAAAGAAAATAAAAAACCGATGCGAAAAATTAAAAATTTTCACATTGGAAAAACGAAAAATTTTAAATTTTGAACATTGAAAAACCGAGAAATTGAAAAAAAAATAAAGAAATAAAAAATTGAAATATCCAAAAGGTGGAAAATCGAAGAACTAAAAAAATTAATATTGATGAAACAAAATTATAAAATTGGAACATTGGAAAATCGAAAAATTGTAAAAAAAGAAAACTGAAACCAAAAATTGCAAATAAAAGAATTTGAAGAAATGAGAAAAAAATTATCGTAAAATTGAGAAATTAAAAATTGAAGAATTAAAAATTAAAAACTCAAAAATGACAAATTGAAACATTAAATTAGTAAAATTGAAAATTATAAAATCAGAACATTGAAAAATCAAAAAATTGTAAAAAAAAAAGAAAATAGAAAACCGAAACCAAAAATTGCTAATCGAAAATTTGAAGAAATGAAAAATTGAAAACTCGATTAACTTTAAATCGAAAAATTGCGAATCAAAAATGGAGAAATGAAAAATTAAAATATCTTAAAATTGCAAAATTAAAAATTGAAAACACGGCAAATTTTAAATTAGACGAATTGAAAAATCTAAAAATTGAAGAAACAAAAAAATTAAAAATACAAAAATTGCAAATCCAAAAATTGAAAACATAAAAATTGATAAAACAGAAAATTATAAAACCGCAACATTGAAAAATCGAAAAAATGTAAAAAAGAAGAAAAAACTAACCAAAAAATGCACATGGAAAAATTGTAAAAAGTAAACAAAAAACCGATACGAAAAGTTGAAAATTTTCACATTGAACAAAAGGAAAATTAGAAAATCTGAACATTGAAAAACCCACAAATTGAAAACATAGAGAAAATCGAAACGAAAAATTGCAAAGTTTGAAATATCCAAAAGATGGAAAATCGAAGAACTAAAAAATTTAAAATTATAAAACCGGAACATTGAAACAAAAAAGAAAATAAGAACCGAAACCAAAAATTACACATCGAAAATTTGAAGAAATGAAAAATGATAATATCGTAAAATTGGGGAAATGTTTAATCAAAAAATTGAAGAAACAAAAAAAAAATAAAAATTAAAAAATTGGAAATCGAATAATTGAAAATAAATCCATATGAAAAACAAAAAAATTAAAAATAAAATTCGAGAAACTCAAATCGAAAAATTCCGAATTCTAAAAATTGAAAAACTCAAAAGTTAGAAAATTGAAGAATCGAAGAAGGGAAAAAAATGAAAAATTGAAGAATTTGAAAAGTTCAAGTTAAAGGAATTTATCAAATTTATCGCACTTCAGGGGCGAGGGAAGTTCTATCTAGGTAATCTTCGATTTTTTTTATCATTTCGTAGTAATAAGCGTATTTCGTTTGAAAATACCGCGTGACTATTAATTATTGAAGAAAATGTTTGTGTTGGTAGTTCTGAGTTATTGGCAATGTCAGTTTGCAGTTGTCAATTTTGAAATAAGTCTAAGAAAGGTCTTGAGAAGACGGCAGCCACTGATTTGGTGCCAAAAATGTTAATTTGGCAGTCAGGTATGCCAGCATAAAATTTGAAATATTGCCAACCTGACAAACAAAAACGCAAACACTAATAGTTACTTAGTATGTTGTCTGTAGTATATAATATTTATTTCTCGTGCCAAATTTACTAGCGTAAATAAGTACAGCTCATTAGCTAGGTACTTAATTCATACGATCGAGAAAAAAAGTCGTCCAGCGAACTTTGGAATTTAATGTTAAAAAATTATGCTTGACTTTTTTCGATCACCTTTTTCGTGCCTATATTTATGATTTTTTTTTTTGGCAGAGTTACGCGTGGCCATTTTACAAACCGGTCGACGCCGAGCTGCTGGGTTTGCACGATTACCACGAGATTATAAAGAAACCTATGGATTTGGGCACCGTCAAGCAGAAGATGGACAATCGAGAATATCGTAATGCACAGGAATTCGCTGCCGATGTTAGACTGATATTTACAAACTGCTACAAATACAATCCCTCGGATCACGACGTCGTAGCGATGGCGAGGAAGCTACAGGACGTGTTTGAAGTGAAGTAAGTAGTATATTTTGTTTCATAACGCAAAAACGAATATAGTTTTGCAAAAATCAGATTCGCCAAAATCCCCGACGAGCCCGTCAACAGGATAGGGATGGCGCCCAAGTCCGAGTCGAGTTCGTCAGGGTCGAGTTCGGAATCGTCCAGCGATACGGAGGATTCCGAAGAGGAAAGTCGGAACAAACAGCTAAAATTACTGGAGAAAGAGGTAAAAGATGGAAATCTGCCAATAAAGAAAATGTCGACGCAATTTTTTTTCCTTGTGCAGTTGATCGCTATGCAAGAGAAGATGCGCAAGCTGGTCGAAGAAAGCACGAAGAAGAAGAAAGAGAAAAAGAAACAAAAAGAAAAAGAGAAGACAAAAAAAGTTATGCCGAACAGTAGTTCAATGGGTAAGCCGGGGGCACACAACGCCCTCACAAAAACCAATTCCGTTATCTCAGACAGTGTCGAGGACAGTATAGCGAGTGTTGTCTCAGGAGCAGATCTCAAGATGTCGACAGGCGAGCAAGTCGGCGCCGGCGGCGGCAAGTCGATGAACATGCACCACATGGCGGCGGCGGCGGGGGCGGCGCCGCCCAACACGTCGTCGTCGCTCAAGCCGCCGAAGAGCAAGAGCGTGCGGGGCCCGAAGCCGGCCGTCGCGTCGAACACGCCGGCGAAGCGGGGCAAGAACAACAGCAAGACGGGCGGCGGCAGGAAGAAGTCGACGTCGCAAGCGCCGAACATGAACTACGACTCGGAGGACGAGGACAACGCGAAGCCGATGTCGTACGACGAGAAGCGGCAGCTGTCGCTCGACATCAACAAGTTGCCAGGTGGGTGGACGGCGTGGTGTGCGAGTTTTTTTTGGTATTAATTGGTTGTTGGTTGTTCCAGGGGATAAACTCGGACGCGTGGTGCACATAATCCAGTCCAGGGAGCCGTCGCTTCGGGACTCCAACCCGGACGAGATCGAGATCGATTTCGAGACGTTGAAGCCGTCGACGCTTCGCGAGCTGGAGAGTTATGTTGCCTCATGCCTACGTAAAAAGCCACGTAAGCCTTACTGTAAGTTCCATTACTTAACGTCCAAGGTCGGATAGCACAAGAGACCAATAAAAGTAGCATGTTTGTAAAGATGGCTCATTTTCGAGCCGGTTCAGACATGTTACAGGCGTATGTAATTGGAACTACACATTTCTAAGCATGGTAGATAATTGTTGGTGCTCATGGGTTTGGTTTATTTATCGTTACTATATTTTATATAGTAAGGATTTGGGATGAGCCTCTTATTTTTTTCTCGAGCATTTTATTTTTTATTGGGGAATGGTGAATGCGCTTTGTAACGGTCGCTATTTTCAGTAATAACAACGGCAAACGGTGTTCTTTTATTTATTTATTTAATTTTTTAATTTTACGGTTGTAACAAATTACCGGCATTTTCTTTTATTCATGTATGTTTTGATTTTGGTTTTCTCTATATTTGTAGTTCCAGTGTATGAGTATTAATGGTCTTAGTTAGTTAATCAACTACATACATGATTTTCTACCATTTAACCTTGGGTTATTGGCAGTAAAATCTTGGTATTTATTCGAAATTTATTGTGCAGTTTTGTTGTTTATCGGTGCCTTTTTTTCTGTTATTGTAGATAAGAAAATGCCCGGCAAATCAAAAGATGAGCAGATGGCGGAGAAGAAACAAGAGCTAGAAAAACGACTAATAGACGTTAATGACAAAATAGGAAATTCTAAAAAGGCCCCCAAGAAAGGTACGTATTTTAATTATATTAAATTTTCCGTGGACTCTACTTTCACGTTTTCTCGACTTTTCATGACTCCTAAAGTACGAAAAAATAGTTTTCCCTTTTCCGTCTGTCCGATTGTTTTCAAATTTTGTATTTATATTAGAAATATGTAAAATTTGTCTAATCATCCCCACCAATAATGTGGTGACGTCACTTCAAAATTGTACATAGTAAATGGGTTTTAATTGTATAAAATAACAGTGCTACACGTGTAGTTTATGATTCCGTGTTGTTGTTGTTGTTTTAATCAAAATATATTTACTTATCCCTCCTAACAAATTAATGACTTCTGCTCAAAATTTTGCTGAATAAATCCTATCTAAAATGTAGAAAATATGATTTGTCTACACTCGTGATTTATCATTCCATTCATATCGAATGTTTTGAAATCTTGGAGATGTTATAAAGTGCATGGTAAAATTTTGATCAAAATGCATTTGTTCATCCCCCCTAAAAAATTGATGACGTCACCTCAAAATTTTGCTGAACAAATCCTGTCTTAATGTGCAAAGTATGATGAGTCTAGACTTGTAATTCATCATTTCATTCATATTTTTTAGCTTTGCTTATACAGAGTGACTCAAAAAAATTAATAAATCAGTCAATTTATTTTATTGAATAAATCAAGAATTGCAATACTGAATGCTTTGAAATTTTAAAGTCATTGTAAGCATGGTAAATTGTTAACCAAAATAAATCTGTTTATTCCTCCCAAAAAATTGATGACGTTATCTCAAAATTTTGTCGAATAAATTCTACCCAAATTGTGTAAAATCTGATGACTTTTTATTTGTGATTCATCATTGCATTCATATTTTTCATTGATCCCGTAAATGTGAAAATACAAAAAATGTCTTTATTTAATAAGAATTATAATAATGATATTCAGAACATTTTGTCGATTGTAGCTTACTACTTAGTTTTGATCCTCTGTATTTTCTACGTGACATTCTTCCGATGTATAAACATTATATTTTGCCTTTTTATCTTAATAAATGTAGTCTTCTTTTCACAACAAGAAAGTTGTTAAATCATATTTAAAAAGGTAAATTTTTGTAGGGAAATATCGATTTTGCAATTATGCTCCGCCCCTTAGTGTGACAATGAATGAAAAATTCATCACAATTGAGATAGGGCGGGTGGGCGTGGCTTATATTTTGCCTTTTTATCTTAATAAATGTAGTCTTTTCAGAACAAGAAAGTTAAATCATATTTAAAACGGTAAATTTTTGTAGGGAAATATCGATTTTGCAATTATGCTCCGCCCCTTAGTGTGACAATGAATGAAAAATTCATCACAATTGAGATAGGGCGGGTGGGCGGGGCTTATATTTTGACTCCTTTTTCTTAATAAGTGTAGTCTTTTTTTCACAACAAGAAAGTTAAATCATATTTAAAAAGGTAAATTTTTGTAGGGAAATGTCGATTTTGCAATATATTTTACCTTTTTATTTTAATAAATGTAGTCTTTTCAGAATAAAAAAGTTAAACCATATTTAAAAAGGTAAATTTTTGTAGGGAAATGTCGATTTTGCAATTATGCTCCGCCCTTTAGTGTGACAATGAATGAAAAATTCACCACAATTGAGATAGGGCGGGTGGGCGGGGCTTATATTTTGCCTTTTTGTCTTAATAAATGTAGTCTTTTCAGAACAAGAAAGTTAAATCATATTTAAAACGGTAAATTTTTTGTAGGGAAATATCGATTTTGCAATTATGCTCCGCCCCTTAGTGTGACAATGAATGAAAAATTCATCACAATTGAGATAGGGCGGGTGGGCGGGGCTTATATTTTACCTTTTTATCTTAATAAATGTAGTCTTTTCAGAATAAGAAAGTTAAATCATATTTAAAAAGGTAAATTTTTGTAGGGAAATGTCGATTTTGCAATATATTTTACCTTTTTATTTTAATAAATGTAGTAGTCTTTTCAGAATAAGAAAGTTAAATCATATTTAAAAAGGTAAATTTTTGTAGGGAAATGTCGATTTTGCAATTATGCTCCGCCCCGTAGTGTGACAATGAATGAAAAATTCATCACAATTGAGATAGGGCGGGTGGGCGGGGCTTATATTTTGCCTTTTTATCTTAATAAATGTAGTCTTTTCAGAACAAGAAAGTTAAATCATATTTAAAAAGGTTAATTTTTGTGGGAAAAAATCGATTTTGCAATTATGCTCCGCCCTCTAGTGTGACAATGAATGAAAAATTCATCACAATTGAGATAGGGCGGGTGGGGGGGCAAATATTTTCTTTTTTTTTTTAATATACATGGTGTCCTTCTCACAACAAGACACTAGAAACATATTTAAAATGGTAAATTTTTGTGGGAAAAAATCGATTTTGCAGTTATGCATTTTTGGTATACAAAATAGACGCTTTTTTGGAAAAGAAGACGATTTATGATAAGTTTCCACGTTCTAGCGTTGTAGTTTCAAGGAATTAGTTCTAATTTTTTCGTAAAATGAATCAATTGTAGGTTGTTATATGGGGTGATTTTTTAAATTTATTTTCTAGTTCACCATGACGCGTACGCGAGTAATTGCACTTCTGACGTACGCGTCGTGGTTAACTAAAGTATAAATTTAAAAAATCACTATCTATATAAGTTATAAGTACCCATATGTGAATTATAACAACGAAAATCAAAATAAAATGTAGTCTTTAGTTCAATAAGCGGAAATCAGAGCAATAAAAACGTCTGGACCGTCGGCATTGTGATCATTCTTTTAGTATAGTTGATAAGTGTCATCGGTATTTGTCTTAAGTTCTCAAAGAATAATAAATTACTATTCAAGAATAACAATAATACAATAGTTTGATTTCGTTGGTGAGTTTAAGTAATGTGTTTATTTTTGCAGAGGAGGCCAACCGAGTAGATCCGACGGGGGCCGGTGGACCTTCGGGCCGCTTATCATCTAGTTCTAGTAGTTCAGATTCAGACAGCAGCACCTCCAGTTTGTCGTCTAGTTCGAGTGATTCCAGTGACAGCGAAGCAGGTTAGCTTCTTTCACTTAACGTCACTCCTCTCCAGTGATAATGCGTCACACGTTTGCATAACAAAAAAAGTTATTTTTATGAAGTAACGATAAATAATAATGTTTGTCGAGAAAGAACAAAGTAGAAAGCATTACCTACCTACACGACACAAATAATTCTCTTCAGAATAGTATTATACTATGAATAGTATGAAAAATGTTTTTTTATTCGTTCGTGGGCGTGGCTTGTCTCATGTACCGTTATTAGGATTTTATATATACATAAGAAATTATAATATATATAATTAATTATTAATGATAAGATTAGGAGTTCTAGTGCCATGCTCGTGATTTATACATAATTTTGTTAATTTGTGTTGGTACAAGCTAATTACGCGCTTCTTTTGAGTTGATGAGCCAAATGTAACAAATGTAGTGGCAGGACACCCGTAAAACGAAACGTCAAGCATGACGCTTGGCCAATCAGAAAAGTGATTGCATTGTGTGGCGCCGTCTATAGGAACTTTTTCTTCCGAAATCACAGTTCAGATTTTTTTTATTTGTACATTTTGTTTACGTCGTTTAAGGATCTCAAGACTGATTTCAGATTATAATTTTTGTTTTTATCACAACTTGAAAAATCTCGTTATTTATTTATTTTATCGGATTGTTTTATCTGGGTTGTGATTTTCTACTAGCACGAAATGAACTAACGTACCATCAATGACGTAATTCTGAGATCGCTTTATTTTTAATATTAATTTATTGTGAAGTGTACATAGTAAAATAATTGTTTTGTTCTGAGATTATACAGACCACGAAAATATTTTCAATGGATTATGTCGTTTCGATGGGTCGCACGCATAATCTCTTGCAAACATTTTATTGGTTGACTATTCGACAACTTTTGTAATTAAAGGAAAAAATTAAAAAAAAAAAACAACTTGAGAGTGAATGTAAATGCATTTTCGCTGGTGCTCCTGTGAATTTTTATGTAAATAATTATATTTTCTCTGGCAACATGAATTTTTCCTAAGCTGCAAGTATTTTCATTTAGTGTTAATATTATTTTAATTTCGCATAAGCGTTCATGTTGCTGATTTTTAACTGATAAGTATTGTTGAGCCTAATCTTGGACATGTTGAGGGCCGCGTTGAACGCGTAACTGGGCGCAGACACGAGGACACGGTGAGCTTTGGCGCCTGCGTTATGCGTTTGGGCGGCGAGGTTTATTATAGCCTTGAGTGCATATCATGTGTGGAGTCTGCCAGCAGCGGACCAACCATACAGACATACAGATCTTACCACACCAGTTTTGTACGCTTTTTGTACAGGTGATATCGCGCTAGATTTTTAAATGCAGACAATGTGTGTGGCGGCGGCTCTAGTTTTAAGATCTGCAGTCGTGAGAGCACGGATTTGATGTTTTCTTGTACTTTTTTTTTCCACTTTTTGTGTCGGCGTCGGTTCTCTAGAAGTTGGCCAGCCGAGAGCTAGAGAACCGACGCTGGGGGTTCTAGGTATGGTACTGTATGGTCAATTTTGGTCAATGAAGATGTGCGCTGGCCTCCATTCACATTGTTTGCACTCAGGGGAATAGTATTTCACACAAATGGCAGTCAACTTATTTTAGAGGCAAGTCAGGTTAGGTCTCTTACTACAGAGCAAAGTAGAGTACGAAAGTTGTTCATATCACTACTAAATTTTGTTGTGATGTAAAATGTATATAATTTTTACTTTGTAATTTCATTGTGTCGTCTTTTAGTTCTCTAATCAGGAAGAAAAGTAACTTTTTATATGTATTCGTATTGATAAGTTAAGTTTTTTATAATGGTGTGGTTATACATACCAAAATCTCACATCAATTTTTTTTGCACTGTATTGAAATATTGTTCTTTTTTATACCTATATTTTGTTTCTATGTATTTGGCGAACTTTTAATATAAATATATTTCTATTGTAGCTTTTTTATTTATTCAATTTTTGTCAAAGCCTTAGAAACTCCAATTGTATATAGCACGCGTAACTCCATTGTAAATAAGGAAGGAATTACTGATTGATGTATATAACAAAAGGACAGCTATTTAATATAATCTTTGTCTTGCCTCTGTCTAGTTGGTGTTGCCTGTTTTCCAGATTTATTAATTTTCTTGTATTTGTAATCTAGCAGTATAAACATTCCTGAAATTATGACAAAATGTTAAATCTGATGTCGAATAAATTCATTTAAGACGTTTATAGAAAAAGTAGTTGTTCATTTAATTTAAACTAAAGTGGTAAGATCTTCCTCTAATGCACTCAAGGTGGTATTGTAAGTGAAAAAATTTTACAAGCCAAAGTCTTTGTAGGTGGAAGCAGTCGACAGGCCAAAAAGAAGACAAAAAAATCGCCTAATCCTTCCGTTGGAAATTCTAGCATGGTGAGTACGCGTAGACCTTTGGGGGCTCTAGATTTCTTTTGGAAGCCATTAAAACTAGTTTTCACACGGTTGTTTGCCGAAATTTCATTTCCATGGGCGAGTAGTTGACTCTTCAGTAGTACCGTAAAAGTCCGTTTTGATTGCAATAGCGCAAAATTTAGCCAATAGCGCGTGACGACAACTGCCGATCAATAACGACAACCCAGTAAATTGGTGCCTTCTCATCTTCATTCGCCTTCCAGCTAAAACGTAGCTATTAAAAGAATTCTATAAAAATTTCTTCCTATTTGGGTTTTCTATCTACTCATGTCCCTCGGCTTTCAAGTTGAAACTTCGTTTATATCTCGATCGTCTCCCCTTAGATAATCGAGTTCTCGTTGGGATGACGTCATCAAATTTGTGGAGGTGGTGAATAATTAAATTTCAGTCGGTGTTCTGTAATCATTGAATCAATATTTGTGTCGTGCCAAAACTTCAAGTTCGTTTCTAGTCAAATTTATTGAACACAATTTTGACGTGACGTCATCGTTTTTACAAAAGGGAGACAAATTAATTCGTCTAAAATTTCAAAATTAATTCCATGACTTACGCACATTTTTTTAAATTTCGAAAGTGTGCAAAATTAAGCAAATCGATCGAAAAGAGGATGAAGCGAAGACTGAAGATGTCAGGATTGGATACAAAACGTAAAAAGCTAGAAAGAGAAAGCACTGGTCAAAAAAACAACTGGAACCACGGGCGGTTAGTTAAAAATTTAAAAAGAAGATCCACACAAAAAGTAAGGTTAAGTTTGTTGTCGACAATGTCGATGAAGTTAAAAAAAAGTTAAAACTTTGTTTTTCGAATTTACTTTATTTTCTGGTTAAACAAAAATCCGTTGATTTCCGAATACTGCCGAAGAGCTTCGAACCACTTTCGTAGCAAAGATTTCTTGGCCTTTCACACCTCACAGGGTACAAAAGTCCGGTTCCTCGTTTTATTTATCTGTTAATCCATTTTCTTTCTGTGTGTCGTTTGTTGGAAATTTGTTAGACTCATGATTCGAACTACTGAACCGGCAACTTGAAAAAGATTTTTGTAATGCATCTATTGTTTTAAGGTCAGTTGTCTAATTTAAAAAAATTCAAACAAAGCATGATTACGAGCTGTCATTTAACGGCATTCTCAAAATTCAAATTTATTTAAAAAATATGTCCAGAAGAATGTAAGCTAGTTAAACAGTTTCAATTCCAATTTCTGATTCTTTTTCCCCTGGGGCAATCAGTATGGTGAAAAGTAATCGAGAAAAAGCCTTTTCGATTTAATGTTAAAAAATTATGTTGGCAGCCTTGGTTCCTGATAAATTAAATAGGTGTCAATTAAAATTAATTTTCATGACATAGTGGATGACTTCTTCAGTCAGATGATGTTACAAAAAATATAAAAGCAAATTAAAATACTATTTTATTTTTTTATTTCTAAAAAAAAATTAAAGTCAGAAAAGTCCGTCCTTGAAAATGACATAAGTTTTGAAGTATGAACACTGTCAATTAAAAACTAGAATCTTTGTCATTTTCTTTGGTTTTGTGTTGAGAATCTTAATCTAAAAATCATGAGGTGTGCCAGAAGTATGTGTGTAGTGTTTTATTTGCAAAGTTTCTGTAATTTTAAATTTTACTTTGGTTAGGTTAGGTCAGGTCAAGTCAATTTTTGTATCACTGATCAGTCGAATTTGGGGTCGATGGGGGCTGCGGAAAACCAAAGCTGACGCACATTTATATATTGTTTCAACACTTTATCGTCAATATAAAAAATCGGTTTTGTTTTTCCTGCTCTCTGATGCCGCCACCACCTCAATGCATGTCGCCAAAACTAAGACAGTTAGTCCGTCAGTCAATCGCTCGATTTCCAGAAGCCACAGCTAGCACCCGCCGCACTGCCATCGACAACCGCCAACAACAATACAACCACCACCACTACCACCACCAACATACCGAATAACCAAGTCCACCCGCCACTATCCAACCATTTGGACGTGAAAGCCGCCACGAACGCCGCCATGCCAGCGTCGAGCAACCGCAAGCCATCCATATCCGCCGACAAACCGCCCCTCCTGCTGCCCCCCGCCCAGCAGGGCATCGCCTCGACGCCCGCGCCGCAGGCCCCCAAGCAGGTCGCCCTCCCCGCCCCCTCGCCCGACAAGCCCAAAACCAACGTCCTGTCCCCGCTGGCGCCGCCCTACACCGACCCGCTGGAGCAGTCGCTCGCCAGCCTCGAGCACGACATCATCAAGGAGCCCATCAGCACGATGGCGCCGACGCTCGGCCACCCCCTGGCCGTCCCGCCGGTGACGGCGCCTAATCTCAACCCTCCGTTGTTGCAGCCCGGCATGGGCGAAATCAAGCCGCCCACCGTGGACATGAACATGCTCCCGGTCAACTCCATGGTGCACAACTCGCTGGACGCCGACATCTCGTCGCTGCTGCCCCACGCCGCCCAGGCCAGCATGCTGAACAACGGCTTCGGGGGGCTGAAGCACGAATACGACATGGGGGCGAACAACAACGGCTTGTCCGCGATGGGGGTGCCCATGAACGTGACGATCCCGTCGATGTTCGACCCGCTGCCCCAGCAGCTGAACAACGTGCCCAAGAAGGAGCCCCCGAAGGAGGAGCGGCCCGAGGGGCAAGAGCGCAAACCGCCACAGAGCGACCACAAGCAGCACCAGCACCAGAGTTTCAACTACAAGAAGCAGGAACACGTTAAGAACGCGTCGTCGTGGTCGAGTCTGGCGAAGGCGAGTTCGCCCCAGAACTCCGCCACTCCCGGGGGCAGCAACCAGCAGCAACAGCTGCGGGACAGCTTCAAGGCCTTCCAGAACAAGGCGAAGGAGAAAGCGGACCGGGAGAAACAGCGTCTGGAGAACTTGGAGTTGAAGCGACAGCAGAAGCAGCAGGCGGAGAAGGAGAGGCTGCGAGTGGAGATCGAGAGGAGGAGGGAGAAGGAGGAGGAGGACGCGCTGGAAAAGGCGAGGTGAGTGTACGAAGTGAACTTGGGAGGAGTTTAGGTAAAGGGGCGTGGCTTGCAGGAAAGCGGTGGCCGAGCACCAACAGCCGATCGCCAGCCAGCGAGTGGAGGAGTTGAGGGCGTCGCCAGGGGAGGGGAGCATTTCGCCGGGCTCGCAAAGCTCGGGCTCGGAGCGGACGGACAGGGAGAGGCAGAGGCAGCAGGAGCAGGAGAGGAGGAGACGAGAAGTGGTAAGTGGCACGAACGCTCCAAATACCAAACTGAGATACCAACGTTGGCATTTTGGAATTATGCAACCAATTAAACATGTAGAACACCCTATATATTTTTCACGCGTTTTCAATGGCATCTTGGGGTTTATCGCCGTATTTTATACTTGAAAGCGACGTTGCCACGTTGTTCCTATTTTCCATAGCGGCAATGCATAGTGCGTTTGCACCATTTCAATTGGCCGACCGTGTTGGGGAAATGTAGTTGTCAAAGTTTGGTGTTTTGGGTGTTTTTGGTGTGAAGTGCTTCTAAATGCTGATTGTTTTTCTTGCAGTTGGCAAACAAAATCGACATGAACATGCAAAGTGACGTCATGGCCGCATTCGAGGGTTCATTATAATGACTGCTTTACGTGACGTGCTCGTGACTTTCAGTGAGAAAAATTTTTATGTAATTATATGTATTTATAATAATTTTATTTGACGTTACAAAAAAACTAGACATCGCTCAAAGGAGAACATGTTTTTTTCAAAAGAGAACTATTTTGAAGCTTCCAGCATGAAGTATGCTTTATTATATTCGCAGTATGTTTTTTTCATATTAAATACTGTTATCTAGCATGTATATAGATAGAATTATGTTGTTAAATGTGAATTGTACAGAAAACTGGGTTTAGTGAGTAATTCCTAAGTTGTCGTATTATTAGCAGCATCGACAGATTTGGCGCATTGTTTTATGGACGGTACTTATTGAGACAGGGAGAAATTTTTTCGAGCAACTTTATTGCCGAGATGCTGCTGTTTGTAATAATTACATTAATAAAATATTTTTTCTATAAAATTTTCTTTTTCCTATGAAATGTGACCACCGGGTGTCAAACTGACGTCGAGACATTTGCCAGTAAGTTTGTGATAATCGATGATCTCTCACTAACCTTGGACGACTTACTGGAGCACGTGTCAGTTTGACAGATTTGTAAAAACTGTATAAATAAATTAATGGCAGCTTTTGTACTACATAATTTAATACTTGTCCGGTTAAGGCGCCGCGAAGTTGGGTTTTGTTGATCGAGAGCGGCGCTTATTAGGTGGGATTAATATATACATTATCTAAATAATTTTAGGGACATTTTATATTATCACGTAAAGTAAAAATTAAAAAAATAGAAAATAAAATATTGGCATAGGAGTATTGAGACAACTGTAGATGTTGTAGATACTTAATTAGTTGCAACTTTATTTTGGCGTTACTAAGAGTGGTCATGTTATTCTTTGTGGAATGGTAATATAACTTTCTAGTTGTTTTTTCCATAGCAATAATATTTTTATTATCCTTCGTTTCTTGTATTTTTATAAGTGTAAACTTGTTTTTTAAAAGCTTAAACTTGCTGTAAAAACCATGTAATATAAGTATATTGTCATAATTGTCATTTGTTAGTAATAAGATTTACTATCATTACCAAACTCATTTTATTATATTTAATCCCAAAAAAACTTCACCCTACCTTAAAATAAAAATCATGTTTTGATAAACTTGTGAACTGTTCTCATTACTAGAAGCTATCTTTATTTATAGGAAACATAAATGTAAAATAATTTATAATTAATGGCTGTTATATATTTTTTCATTAATTTTGAAGTAAGTCATGAATAGTGATGTTAGAATAAATATTTAAGAAAGACACAGCTATCCTCAACTCTTTTATTTCATCAGACCTAAAACCTGCTCGCTATCCCCCCTCCCCTACTATCCGAGTGCGAATTCAAATCATCCTTGACCTTCTCCACCACATTACTGCTCATATAGGGCTCGGGCTCCAAAATCGGCCGGGCCGTCAACGTCTCGAGATACTTCAACACATCCTCAGAGAACAGGGGCGTGTGCGAACCCTCAATCCCCACACTCCCGTTATTCAAAATGTGGAAACGCGCCGCTTCCACCGCGATGCTCACGTTGTGATTGGCCACCAAAAGCGCCATTATCAATTGAGTGGCCAATGCCATGTCGTTCGCCCCTAAAACGAGCCGCCGCCCACAGATGGCGTTCGCATCCGTGATTATAATAGGGAGACGAGTACAACGCGTAGGTCTGGGGCGAACATCAAGCGTGTACCCACTGGTGGTGATTTCTCCAGCGCCGAAGAAGGTGTACAAACCCCTGAAACATATTTTTGTCCACTAATAAAGTTTTGTTGCTTATTAGGTGGTACCTACGTTGTGAACGACACGTAATTGTCGTCCAGATCCATCACAGCCACGTTGGTGGAAGTTCCTTCGTGGAACTTGGTCGTCATATTTAAGTCGTCGTACAAATTCTGGGTGACTTCAGCCAGTCGATACACGTATTCCGTGTTAAGAGTGTCACTCTGTGTAAAATTAAAACTTTCGAGTTGACGTATGTTTGATAATAGGGCTGGACCTGTAGAGGGGGTACCAGGTACATATATGTCAAACCCGTTGAAAGTGTACCTCAAAGCTTGGGAAAATACTGGTTGATTATTTGGGTTGACGAAAGTGTAAAGATCTTTTTCTGGAATGTTGGCGATTTGTTGCAGCGTGTTGCCCAAAGCTTCCAACTGTAGAAGTTGTCCAGGTTCTAAACGTCTATAGAGATCTTCAGCTTTGGCTTCTTTGATAGCTTGGACCAACATTTTTGGTATAAGAAAGCCCTGTCTGGAAGTATTGTGTGGTTTAAAATGGTACCGCAGAGGTGTTAGTACCTGGCTAGATCAGCAGCAGGTTGTACCAACTCCTTCCACGGTAAAGAACCATACTGTTGGTGCACGAATGCTAGCCCCAGGACCAGTCGAGGTAGTAAATGTTCAGCATCCGGGTTCCCATTGTTAAAATCGATGACGTCAGGAGTTAGACGCGTCCTGTGGTTGTAGATAAGCATTTGAGCGTCTCTAAAATGGTTGTTTATGTATTATATGGGTGGATTTTATAAGGGTGTAGTACCCATCGAGGCTCGTCAAGTGTGGGGTGACAACAGACAGGCATAACGCACTAGCGATGGTAGCATCAATCGAATTCCCGCCTTTTTTCAAAATTGAAGTACCTATTTTTGAACATTCGAGACTGTCAGTGGCTACGCTGCCGTGGGGAGTTACCTAAAACACGAACGGACTATAGATTTTTTTGTGGTCTATTATAAAGTACCCACCTGGTAGTCTCCATAATAAATCTGAACCAACAATGCCGCCGTAATAATCACAGTCAAACTCCCAAAAGCAATATTAATAAATTTGAACCCGCTCAAATAATCCTCGCTACAGCTACACAAACCTGCATTTTTCCTTCCTTTCTGTAACGGTATGTTTTCTCTAGTTTCTAACGCTACAAACACAATTAGATCACCTCCAAACTCACTTTTCAAAATTACCAGCATCTCCCACCGTTGTCATTTTCCCCGTGTGTCCCAAACCATGCGAAATCACCCCTTATCCACCTTCTTCCGGACCATAAATCGACAATTAAGTACACTGAACTTAAGCGTTTTACCTACTTAAGTACGAACAGCGCAGTGGATTCGCTGTTGCGTCACGCCTCCTTTCACATTTCTAATTGGGTGGGTGACTCAAGTAAGCGAGCAGCGACTCGGAAGGAATTTTTATGAGGAGGGGAAGGCAGGCTCGGACTGCGTGAAAATTAAAGTCTCGCGTGGGTGACGTGCGCTCACCTGAAACAACTTACTTTCAGAAACGGGTTTTTGCGCTAAATCGATTTAAATTTTGCGGGCACGAGCCGCCTCTGGTTGGTTACGCAGACGCGGGTTGCTAGGCAACCAATCCGACACAAACAGAGTGGTGTCAAATTGTGAAAAATGCAGAGGTCTTTTTCGATTGTTGAGGTGAGTTTTTGTGTTTAATTTTCGTTTTATTGGGTTTCGTTTTAGGATGAAGATGCCGCTGAAAGTTTCGACGACGAGCAAATCGTGAAGAAGTACAGTCATGCCTTGAGTGAACGGCGGAATTCGCAAACCGTGGGCGATTTTGAAAAAAGTTTGGCCAAAATGGCGACACGACAGGTATTTTAATCAGTTAGGTTGTATGGTGGCACACCTGAGTCAGAGAACATAGAGAAGCGTCATAGTTTAAATTAAATGACGGTTGAGGACTCGAGTTATGTTGGCAACAGTGTTTGTTTCTAACTAGGAATAAAATTAACTATAGTAATGTCTATCTGTCTAACTCTAAGCGTCCGAAAACGATTTGATTTATAAGCCATGATCCGTGATCTGATACACATCCTAACCTATAATTTCTTGCTGTTTCAACTTTCGAATTCTCAGTTTTTCGAAATTTTAGTTTGGGGACTTTTCAGTTTACTCCTATTTATTATTCAATTTTTGGATTTTATAATTTCGCAATTTTTCACTTTCTCGGTTTTCAGTTTTTCTCTTCAATTTTACGATTTTTAAATATTTCGATTTTTTAATTTTTGGCTTTTATAAACTCTTTATTTGTCGATTTTTCAATTGATTGATTTTTCAGGTTTTTTGGTTTTTCAATTTTTCTATTTTTTCAGGTTTCGATTTTTCAACTTCACTTTTTTGATTTTTCGATTTCTCAATTTTTCAATTTTTTAATTTCTCAGTTTTTGGATTTTTCAGTTTACTTATTATGCAATTTTTCGATTTTACGATTTTGCAGGTTTTTGATTTTTCGATATTTCGATTTTTTCAAGGTTTTATATTTCGACTTCACTTTTTTGATTTTTCGATTATTTCGGTTCTCATTTTTCGGATATTTCAGTTTTTCGATTCGTCAGTTTTTCGATATTTCAGTTTTGGGATTTTTTAATATTTCTGTTCTTTGACTTTTCCATTTTTGACTTCTGGATTTTTCGATGTGTCGACTTTTGACTTTTTCGATTTTTAAATTTTAGATTTCTCAATTTTTTGGTATTTTGAGTTTTCAATATTCAAAATTTTCGATTTTTCGATTTCTCGACTTTTCGTTTCAGCTCTTTTATATTTCAATTTTTCAAAAGTTTCGATTTCTTAGTCTTCCGATTTTTCGACTTCCCGGTTTTAGATTTTCTGTTTTTCAATTGTCGTTTTTTCAAATTTTCGATTTTTCAATTTTTCAAATTTGACATTTAAACTGTCAATTTTTCGATTTTTCAATTAATCGATGTTTTGACTTTCCCATTTCTTGACTTTCGAGAGTTTCGATATTGCTATTCGTCAGTTCCTTAATTTTTCGACTTTTCATTTTTTAGTTTTTTTAAGGTTTCGATTTTTCGACTTCACTTTTTGGATTTTTCGGTTGCTCAATTTTTCGACTTTTTAGATTCTCAGTTTTTGGATATTTCAGTTTTCGGATTTTTCAGTTTTTCTTTCATTTTTCAGTTTTTGGATATCTCAATTTTGGGATTTTTCAATATTTCGATTCTTCGACTTTTCGATTTTTGACTCCTGGATTTTTCGATTTGTTGATTATTTTACTTTTTCGATTTTTACATTTTGCACTTTTTCGATTTTTAATTTTTTATCTTTCGATTTCGACTTATTTTTCGTTTTTTCAATTTTTCTAGTTCTTAATTTCCAATTTTTAGATTTTTCCAAGTTTTCATTGTATACGTTTTCGGTTTTTACAATTTCCAATTTTTCCATTTCTCTGATTCGAAAAGTTGGAAAATCGAAAAAGTAAAAAGACAGGAAAATCTGAGAAATTGAAAATCTGAAAAAACGAAAAATTGCAAAATCGAAAACCTAGAAAGAAAATCGAAAAATTGGAAAGAAGAAAAACGAACCGAATCGAAAAATTGGAAATCCGAAAAATTGTAAAATCGAAGAGCTGTAATTAAAAAATTGAACGTCGAGAAATTGAAAACTTAAAAATCGAAACTGGAAAATTAAAAAATGAAAATTCTAAAATTCCAACATTGGAAAGATTATTCTTATTACATATTTAAAACGAAATCTAGAAAAACTGAAAAAACGAAAAATTTCAAATCGAAAAATTGAAAAGTCAAAAAATGAAAAAAATTCACATTGAAAAAAAGAAAAATTATAAACTCAAATAACTAAAAAACCGAAAAATGGATAAAATAAAGAACATAAAAAAACCGAAACAAAAAATTGCAAATCGAAAAACTGAAAATTCGTGAAATTGTAAATCGAAAAATGGCAAATTTTACAAAATTGAAACATCCAAAAGTTGGAAAATCGAAAAACTGAAATATTTGTCTAAGAGTGAAGAATGAAAAATTGTAAAAATACAGACAATTAAAAATGAAAATGAAAGCCGCAAATCGAAAATTTTAAAAATTGAAAACTCCAGAAAATTTAAATCGAAAAATTGCAAAATCGAAAAACTGAAGAAACAAAAAAATTAAAAATCGAAAAATTGCAAATGAAAGGACTGACGAAACGAAAAATTGAAACATTGGAAAGAAGAAAAAACGAATCGATTCGAAAAAATTATAAAATCGAAAATCTGTAAGATTGAAAGATCGAAAAATTAATATGTAAATGAAAAAGTTATAAAATCCAATACATAATTGAAAAATGAAACAATTCTAAAATCGCAAACAATTGAAAAATCATGAAAATGAAAAATGAAAAATAAAAAATCTAAAAATTGAAAAAACGAAAAATTGAAAAATCTAAAAGTTGAAACTTCTAAAAGTTATAAAATCAAAAAACTGAAAAATTTGAAAACGAAAACTCGAAAAGTGAAGAATGAAAAACTGAAAAACTGCAAATCGAAAAATTGAAAAAACAAAAGTTATAAAATTGGAACATTAAAAAACTGAACATTTGTAAAAATGAATAAAATAAAAATCCAAATGAAAAACCGCAAATTGAAAATTGGAAGAAAAGAAAAACTGAAGTATCGAAAAATTGAAAAATTCGAGAAATTTTAGATTGAAAAATTGAAGGAACAAAAAAATGAAAAATCCAAAAGTTGGAAAATCGAAAAATCGCAAACCGAAAAATTGAAAAATTCAAAAACTGAAAAATTTCACATTGAAAAAAAGAAAAATTATAAAACCAGAACATTGAAAAACCGAAAAATTTAAAAAATAAAGAAAATAAAAAACCGAAACGGAAAATTGCAAATCGGAAAACTGAAAATTCGTGAAATTGCAAATCGAAAAATTGCAAAATCTAAAAATTGAAACATCCAAAAGTTCGAAAATGGAAAACTGGAAAATCTAAAAATGAAAACTCGAAGAGTTTGCATGGATTGAAGAGACAAAAAAAGAAATATCTGGATTTTTCGATGTGTCGACTTTTGACTTTTTCGATTTTTAAATTTTTAAATTTTAGATTTCTCAATTTTTTGGTATTTTAATTTTTCAATATTTAAAATTTTCTCGATTTTTCATCTCAGCTCTTCTATATTTCAATTTTTCAAAAGTTTCGATTTCTTAATCTTTCGATCTTTCGACATCCCGGTTTTAGATTTTCTGTTTTTCAATTGTCGTTTTTTCAATTTTTCGATTTTTAAATTTTAGACTTTCCAGTTTTTTGATATTTTAATTTTTCAATGTTAAAAATTTTAGATTTTTCGATTTCTCGATTTTTCATTTCAGTTCTTCGATATTTGAATTTTTCAAGTTTTCGAATTTTTCAAATGTTTCGATTTCTTAATCTTTTGATTTTTCGACTTCCCGGTTTTAGATTTTCTGTTTTTCAATTGTCATTTGGTCAAATTTTCGATTTTTTAATTTTTCAAATTTGATTTTCTATTTTTGACTTCTGGATTCTTCGATGTGTCTACCTTTTTACTTTGTCGATTTTTCAATTTTTGGATTTTTAAATTTTAGATTTTTCAATCTTTTGATATTTTAATTTTTCAATATTTCTTAATCTTTCGATTTTTCGACTTCCTGGTTTTAGATGTTCTGTTTTTCAATTTTTCGATTTGTTAAATTTTCATTACCGATTTATCGAGATTTGATTGTTCAGGTTTTCGATTTATCAGTTTTTCAATTTTTTATTTTGGCCTGTTTCGGTTTCTCAGTTTTTCCAGTTTTCCATTTTTTCGTTTTTTGATTTTTCCGCTTTTCTAATTTTTCAACTTTTAACTTTTTGTTGGTCGATTTCTTTTTTTCGATTTTTCGACTTCATCACTTTTCGATTTCTCGTTCTTTGGATCTTTTAATCTCTTAATTTTTCAATTTTCCGAATTTTTAAGTTTTTTGATTTCTCGATTTATCGATATTTGGATTTTTCGATATTTTGATTGTCAATTTCTCAATTTATTTACTTCAATTCAATTTTTAACTTTTCGATTTTTTGATTTTGGCTTATTTCGGTTTCTCAATTGTTCGACTTTTCGACTCCACTATTTCTTGATCTTTTGATTTTTCGATTTCTCGGGTTTTCGATGTTTCGATTTTTCAGTTATCCGATTTTTTAAATTTGGGAGTTCCGATTTCTCGATTTTTCGTTATTCGTTTTTTAATTTTAGATTTTTGATTTTTACATTTTTTCGATTTTCAGTTCTTCGATATTTCGATTTTTCAATGTTTGGGTTTTATGATTTTTTCAGGTTTCGATTTTTCTATTATTAGATTTCTCGATTTTTCGAATTTTCGATTATTTTAATTTTTCTTTTTTTTTCACACTGTTAATATCATACAAAAATTGTCACTAAAAACATTTAAAAATTCATACAAAATAGAACACAGTGTTTCCAAAACAAGTTTTTTATTGTCATCGACTATTTAAATTTGGCGCTTGTCTTTGGCGGTTGAGGACTCCAATATCAATAAGAGTGGTTTTGCAAAATCAGCGTGTATGTCGCATCTATATTAATCTATGCCAATTCAAGTTATTGACACTAATACAGGATTGCCAACTCAAAAATTGCACATTTGTAGCCATCGCCAACCGATATTCCGTCGAAAATCCCCAGCGCCGGCCCCTCAGGCCGCCAAACCGTCCTGCGCGCCGCCCACCTGTCAAGCAAAACTCGCCTCTCCAGCGACAGCGACCTCGACGACAGCGACCTTGACGACGACAAACCCAAAACCGCAATCCCCGGCGAATACGATCCCAAGCAGTACGAAAACCTTGACGTGAACCCCGAAATCAAAGAAATTTTTCAATACATCACAAAGTAAGTAAGTGCTAACCCAAACGCGGTCAGTCACCCCAATTTCAGATACATCCCCCAACAAATGACCTTAGACCACAAATTCAAACCGTTCGTCCCCGAATTTCTCCCCGCTGTGGGCGACATCGACGCGTTTTTGAAGGTCATTCCCCCCTCCAAGACCATCACGGGCGAGGAATTCGCAACCAATCAGCACTTGGGCTTGACGGTTTTGGACGAGCCGGCGGCCAATCAGAGCGACGCTGCGCTATTGCACTTGCAATTACGGGCGGAGTCTGTGAAGACGACGCACGACAGCGACGTGGTAAAAGTGAGGTTATGGGTGTTAATTAAGCTGAGTTTGTGGGTCTAGGTGGTGAAGAAGCTCGACAACGTTGAGAAAAACGTAAAAATCGTGGATAAATGGATTAAAGATATCTCGGCGCTGCATAAAAGCAAGTCGTTTCCGAGCGTTAGATACACAGAGTGAGTTTTGTGGTTGAATTTTGGCGGGAAATTTTGAAATGTTGTTAGGGCGATGCCGGATTTGGACGAGCTGATGCAGGAATGGCCCGAAGAGATGGAAAGACGGTTGAGGGAGGATAAATTTCCAGAACCTAGTGGGGATTTGAATGCGTATATTGAAGAAGTGTGCGGGTTGTTTCAGATACCTGTGAAAAACAAAATCGAAGCGCTGTATTTGTTGTTTTCGTTGTATGCGGCTGTTAAAAGTTCGCAGTTGTTTAAGACTTCGGAAATGGAGAAGGCGGGAGCTAATGGAGATGAATCCATCACTGTTGTGGCAGATCAGTTATTGTTAGAGTAATGAAAGTAAATGGAAGCTATGTACAAGCACTTTGTGGTTTTGACTAATCTATACTTATATAATAAAGCTGAAGCTTTTGTTTATTTGAACACGCTAATCTCAGAAACTATTGGTTCAAATTCAAAAAATCTTTTTGTGTTGGATAGTCCATGTATCATATCTACATATAGACTATATAACATCACTCTACGATCATGAGGAGCGAAGTAGCAATGAAAAGTTCGGAAAAACGGGAAAATTATTCCTCCTTTGACAGCTTCCGTTGCTTACGCTGCTTAAACGGTTAAAGTTACGTAAAAATCATGTATGACGAAATTTTTCCCCTCTAAAAGTTCTAAAGAAAAGTCCGCGACAGCATACGTCTATCTTTGAAGGCCGAGTCAGTATAACCTTTTTTATGGTTTTGAAATTTGTTCTAAAATAATAATGCTTTATCTATATTAATAAAAATGAATCGCCGAAATGTATGTACGCTCATAACTTCAGAACGACTGCACCGAATTGGACGATTCTTTTTTTTACGTGTACCTTATTGTCAGGACAAGGTTTATATGTAAGAAAATTTATAAAAAATAAGACGGCTAAAAGATAAACAAAAATTAAAAATGTTGCATGGGAATCGCCACTTCGAATGATTTTGAATAGTTGGCGTTCCTGACGGACCTTTCGCCTAACTGACGTGTCATACAAAACTATTTCTTCCGTGCGATTGTGAAAAAAGTATTATTGCATTTCAAATTGTTCTTTGTTTTTTCGTAAAAAAAAACGTCGTTTATTTTAAGAAAAGTCTTAGTTAAAGTGAATTTAGTTGCACATTGCGAAAGTGTCTTATTAATTTTGATCTGCCATTCTATTTACCTATGTTCACTTTGTTGGTTTCGACAAAACTTCAAACTTTACCGTTATTCGAGGATTTAATTTGAAGTTTTCAATATTTTAAAATTCTCAAGACAAAATTTACAGATTTGATTGACTGTGAAAATAATTCTGTGTCGTTTTATGAAGTTCATGACAATGCCGAGAAGACGACAAGCTGACATAAGTCCACGAAGTCAAACAAATGTGCGACGAACTACCGAAGGTGCAAATCGCGATGATTTATTTCAAGGGTAATTCGGATACGGAAGTTGATCAGCGTTGTGCTCATAATCAACATCATAATCGAATGAATAATTGAAGCGAGACATTGGACGGTATGAATAAAACTGAGTAGATACTCATATTCGAAGTACGAAGTACCTACTTCACTATTACTCTCATATACCTGAGCATCTACCCGATGTACTGTGTATCTACTTGCAAACATTGTATCTCCCCGGACACAAATTGAACATTTACACGTTTTGTGAGCATTTAATCTAAAAATGAGCATCGGCGTGGCAAATGACTATTTGTCCTTATAAATGATAAATTAAATGTAATATATTTTTTTTCCTTAAGAATATAGATTTAACAAAGTTAGTTGAGTTACAAAAGTCTCTTTTGCTCCACGTTGGCCACCAACGAGCGATTTTCATGATTTTTGTGAAACTTTGCTGGTTTTGAATTTGAATTTTCTGTCCTCGATAGTTGATGCTCAGCAAGAACCACGGGAAGGTCTGGAGCAGATCTCGCTAGGAAAGGAGAGGGCTAGGAATTGTTAATGAGGGATAGAACGTTATACAATACAATACAACGGAAATACAATACAGGTACCTACAATCTAGCTACAATACAGAATACACTACAGATACAGATACAATTCAGTTACAATACAAATGCAAAGTTAGTACCCAATACACCACCGGAAGAAATTGCACCAAAAATTGAGAATGTTGCAAAATGAAAACCAAAGCAAGCACACCGATGGAACTCGGGACGAAATCTATTGGTCGCAGCGCTCACACGCCCAAGGGAGAACGCAGCCGCATAAATCCAAGGTCGTCTTACCTCATTCTCAAAGAACGATGCAACCCAGCGTCTAAGGGCCAAAAGAACCCCCCCAAGCCAAAGCGTCTGACGACATGGAGAATTCAGTCTCGGAACCAAAGAATGCACTGTTGCAAAATTAAAACCCAAGCAAATGCACCGTGAAAACAAAGCATTTGCACCACTGGAGCTAAATTGGCAAGACCCAAGTTAAGTTAGTAACACATACAATATACAGTACAAAATGCTTCAATTACAAAAGTTACAATATACAAATTTCTCCACGTTTGCCAACAAAGAGCGATGTCTCTGCTCGCTCGTTGCTGTTGCCCAGCAAGAACCAAACAATACGAGGAGGTCTGGAGTGCGTCTTGCCATTAAAAGAGAGGACTAGGGTTTGATAGCATGTGTGAAGGACACCGTATTTTGTAAATTTGGACGCCGTAGTTTAAAAATGATGCATACGGTATTTTGTGAATTATGAACGCTGCACTTTGTATATTCCAAAGCCGTACTTTATCAATCCTGAATGCATGTTATTAACAACATATTTAAAAAAAAAACGGGCATTTTTGGAAAAATATCCACTTTCCTTCGTGTTCATAACACGTAACACAAAACATTTTCGCTAATATTTATTAACAATAAATTAGAAATTCGCGAACACGTGCCACTTTTAAGCCAAAACGGAGCTCCAGTGTTGCCGCTACCAGACCGGAATCAAAACTAAACACAGAGGATGGAAAAATTGACCTTTTATCAGGTAGCTCACGTGACAGTGACGTCATCGTACGTCACGATGAGATTGCAAAAATTATTTTTCATATTTTAGATTAGAAATTGTACATTTTCGGGGTTAATTTAACAATGTTTAAACAAACTAATTAGTTTTTGCTAACCTCGTCTTCTTAGGAAGATGGATTTCGGTTTAATTATCATATATTGATAGTTATCATATTTGAACATTATGAATTCTATTAATTATGTTTAAATTTTATTTAATTATATCGCGAAAATGTATAGCTTTGACCCACGAACTTCAATCATTTCGAAAATTTATCCAAAATGTAAAGATTGTCGACCAAACGAATCACGGAATCCGATAAATTAAAACTGAAGTCGTACTTACCCTGTTTTCGGTCTTTTTCGGAAAAATATTTATTTTCGTCCGTGTTCACAGCACTAACACAACAAATTTTCCTTAATATGCATTAATAATAAAATTGAAATTCGCTAAAACGCTCCACTTTTACACCAAAATGACGCGGCGATCTTGCCGCCATCAAACAGAAATTAATACTGAACACAAAGGACCGTAAAACGTGACCTTTATACAGGTAGCTCACGTGACATTGACGTCATCGTACGTCACCATGAGACTGCAAAAATTATTTTTCATGTTTTGGCCAGGAAAATGCACATTTTCGGAGATAATTTAACATTGTTTAAACAAATTAATTTGTTTTTAATAATTTCAGGTTTGTAGGAAAATGAGTTTCGGTTTAATTATCGTATATTGATGCTTATCATATTTAAACATTATAAATGATATTAATTATGTTTAAAATTTATTTATTTATATCGTGAAAATGTATAGCTTTGATCAAGCGATTTCAATCGTTTCGAAAATGTCCCCGAAATTTAAACAAAGTCGAGTGAACGAATCACGGAATCCGATAAATTAAAACTGAAGTCGTACTTACCCTGTTTTCCGTCTTTTTCGGAAAAATATCCATTTCGTTCGTGTTCACAGCACTAACACAACATATTTTCCGTAATATGTATTAATAATAAACTAGAAATTCACTAAAACGTTCCACTTTTACGCCAAAATGAAGCGACGATCTTGCCGCCATCGAACAGAAATTAATACTGAACACAAAGGACCGAAAAACGTGACGTTTATACAGGTAGCTCAGGTGACAGTGGACGTCATCGTACGTCACGATGAGATTGCAAAAATTATTTTTCATATTTTGGCCGGGAAAATGCACATTTTCGGGGATAATTTAACATTGTTTAAACAAATTGATTTGTTTTTAATAACTTCGGGCTTGTAGGATAACGAGTTTCGGCTTAATTATCGTATATTGATGCTTATCATATTTAAACATTATAAATGATATTAATTATGTTTAAAATTTATTTATTTATATCGTGAAAATGTATAGCTTTGATCAACCGATTTCAATCGTTTAGAAAATTTTCCCAAAATTTAAACATAGTCGACCGAACGAATCACGGAATCCGATAAATTAAAACTGAACTCGAACTTACACTGTTTTCGGTCCTTTTCAGAAAAATATCCATTTTCGTTCGTGTTCACAGTACTAATACAACACATTTTCACTAATATTTAAATATATAAATTAGAAATTCGTGAAAAGAGCCCTACTTTTAAGCCAAAACGGACTCTGATGTTGCTACCACCAAACCAAAATCAAAAGTAAACGGAGAGGACCGAAAAATATGACCTTTTATCAGGTAGCTCACGTGACAGTGACGTCAACGTACGTCACGATGAGATTGCAAAAATTATTTTTCATATTTTAGATCAGAAATTGTACATTTTCGGGGTTAATTTAACAATGTTTAAACAAACTAATTTGTTTTTGCTAACCTCGTGTTCTTAGGAAAATGGTTTTCGGTTTAATTATCATATATTAATAGTTATCATATTTAAACATTATGAATTATATTAATTATGTTTAAATTTTATTTAATTATACCGCGAAAATGTATAGCTTTGACCCACCAACTTCAATCGTTTCGAAAATTTTTCCAAAACTTAAACATATTTCATATTTTGGCCGGGAAAATGCACATTTTCGGGGATAATTTAATAATGTTTAAACAAATTGATTTGTTTTTAATAATTTCGGGCTTTTAGGACAACGATTTTCGGTTTAATTATCATATATATTTATGCTTATCATATTTAAACATTATAAGTGATATTAATTATGTTTAAAATTTATTAATTTATATCATGCAAATGTATAGTTTTGATCAACCGACTTCAATCGTTTCGAAAATTTTCCCAAAATTTAAACATTGTCGAGTGAAGGAATCACGGAATCCGATAAATTAAAACTGAAGTCGTAAGATAATTAGCTTTTATTTATGCATAAATTGTGCAGTGCGTTCTTTCTAACACTGACCATAGAGATTCCCAACTCAAGGTGTCTACCCCATATTAACTGATATTTTGGTGACTCGATTTTTGCCTTGATGGTTGAACACTGTTACTGTTTTCCGTTTTTGTTGTATCGAGATACTACTTGAGCATCAACTGTTACCTACTGAAGTATTAGCATCATCTAGAAAAACTAGAAATATTTTGATTTGATATTCGAGTAGATACTTCGTATTTCGAGTATGAGCATCTACTGAGTTTTATTTATATCAACCATTGTCAAAAATTTGATCGAACGTTGTTTGGACAGAACTTCCTTCGCACCAAAAGTATAATGAAACATATTCAGCATTTTCGAGTTGAGTCTTTTCTTCACACAATTTTGTGATGACCTAATCAACATTTACGATCAACACGTATACCATCTTGGATTGGTGCAGTGTAATACTAAAAATAACTGTATTGTATTCCCAAAATTATCTGCGAAAATCGAGTGATCCGTTCCATCAATTTTTTGGGGGGAATAAGTAAATATTCTTAACAATTTACCATGCTTACAATAACTTTAAAACGTCTGCAAGATCTCAAAGAAGTAATTTCTTCAACTCTTGAGTTATTCTCTAAAATAAATTGACTGATCCACATATTTTTGGAGTCACTGTAAAAACAAATCTAAAAAATATGAATGCAATGATAAATTACGAAAATATATCGATGATATTTGGCACATTTTAGATAGGATTTATTCGGCAAAATCTTGAGATGACGTCATCAAGTTTTTGGGCTTGATAAACAGATATATTTTGATTAAAAACCTACCATGTCAAGCAGAAACTTCAAAACGTCTGCTATATTTCAAAATTCAGTTTTGCAATTCTTGATTCAATCAATAAAATAAATTGACTCAGTGATTAATTTTTTTGAGACACCTCCTCTAAGCAAAACTAAAAAATATGAGTGGAATGATAAATCACAAGTATAGTCTCATCCTATTTTGGACATTTTAAATAGGATTCATTTGGCAAAATTTTCGGCTGACGTCATCAATTTTTTGGAGGGAATAAGTAAATATATTTTGAAAAAAATATATGTATTATGCTTATTATATGTTTAAAACATCTGCAAGATTTCAACGCATTCGGTTTTGAAGATTCAAAATTAAATTGTGGGTGAAACGAAGTTCACGGGGTCAGCTAGTTAAATTATATGTTGTAGTTGGTTTTTTTGTCAGAAGGTGAAACGACTGATTCCTAATCGAATTCCTGAATATTTAACTAATATAATAAATAACTATACAGCGATTGTCCCATTGTCTGGACTACTTTAACTCTGACGGTGGTTCCCCATTTAAACAGTCGCGCGGTGCTATTCGCAAGTCTCAGTCACCGCTTCTAGGCTTGTTCTGGAAAACCCAGCGCAACATCCGCTTCCATGCTTTTCTCTGGCCGACGTCACCGACAATGAGTCATCATCGCCGTACATACTAGAACCCTTAGGTGTCGTACTGGGACGGCGTACGCGTTTATTTCGTAACAATATAATTGTATAAAGGCCATTTGACGATAATGGTTAATTTCATGTTAAATTGTGCAAATTATGCACTGATATGGTTTATTTGCACTATATCATAAAGTTTATATTTTTTTTGTTATTGTGTTATTGCTTTTTAATATTCAAATAGTGGCCTACTAAGCAGCTTTAGATGTAAGATATTATTCTATAAACCATCTGAAAACTTTAGAAACTCATTTTAATCTGTTTCTTTCTTAATGCCAATATGGTTTAAAACTCAGATTTCTTAGAAGCTTTATAGTTATCTAAAGCCAATTGTGCAATCATTTCCATAAAGTTGTTTATTCAATACTTTTGAATGCTAAAATTGTGATAAACAAAAATTATCATTCTTTCAACATTTTACGAGATATCTGCAACATAAACTGGTGTTATAAATTGGCCCACAACTTAAAAAACCACATTTGTCTACATATCTGTCGATATTCGCAACAACATGTCAGATAACAGTCAAATTGTAGAGTTTTTTAGAAATCAAACAATTTTTATAACCGGAGGAAACGGCCTTGTTGGCAAACTGATCCTCGAGAAACTGCTACGAACATGCTGGGATCTGAAAAAGATTTACCTTTTAATTCGTCCTAAAAAAGGCAAAAGTCCGGAGCAACGTTTCAGCGAGCTTTTCACTAATCCAGTATGTACTAAGTTCTTTTATAATAAATTAACAGTTATTATTTCAAGTGTTTCGAGAGCATCAAAGGGAAGAATTTCAAAAGCAAGGTCATGTTAATTAGTGGCGATTGCAATCAACCCGGTCTAGGACTAGATCCCGAAGATGCCTATATTTTGAAAAAAGAAACGACGTGCATTTTTCACATTGCTGCCAACGTCAACTTTTTGCAGACGATAAAAGAAGCCAGTTATAATGTCAGTTGCACTAAAGATATGATCAAGTTGGCTAAAGAGATGGAAAATTTGAAAGTAAGATCAGTGTTGTAAACATTGTATAATTAAAAACATTTCCAGGTTTTTGTCTACGTGTCTACAGCCTATTCGAATTGCTTCAATAGTCACATTCGCGAAGAAATTTACAAACCACCTATTAAAGCAGAAGCGTTTCTCGATTTAGTCAATTCTTGTAACGAAGACGATTTGGAAAACACACTTTTGTCGTGAGTATTGAAAATGGAAGGTCCTACGTGGAGCGGTTACATGTTTTTTCCAGTTACCTTAAAAACTTTCCAAACAATTATCTGTTCTCGAAGTGTTTATCAGAAGATTTGATTAAAAGTTCAACCACGGGGATATCAACAGCAATCATTCGACCAGCAATAAGTAATTTCGTCGCGTGGTCAAAGCTCAACTAATAATGTCTCTTTTAGTTACGAATACCATTAAAGAACCCATTCCAGGATATACTGACAACTACTACGGTGTCATTGGTGTTGTGGCTGGAGTTGGAATGGGGATCATTCGATGTTTTTACTCAAAAAAAGGAAAGCGGCTGGATTTGGTTCCAGCGGATGTTGTCAGTAATTGTATTTTGGCGGCAACATGGAAAACAGCAAATTCTAAATCTCTCACTGTGTACAACTGTGTCGGCAAAAAAATGTTACTTGGTAAGTAAAACATTCTCCGGTTTTCCTCATTTATTTTTTGCAAAGAAAAATTAATCAATTTGATGGCCCCGCTCTACGAGGAGTTTCCATCTACGAAGTACTTGTGGTACTGGGGTTTTACACTGACCGAAAGTAAATTTCTTTACAATGTATCTTCCTTGTGGTACTTGTCACTGGCCCACGTCGTCGATTTCCTTTTCGTCCTGTTTGGAAAATCATATAAGTATTTTTTTCGCAAAATTTATTATCATTTATTGACTTGTATACTTTCAGGATAGCTACTAAATTGAGTAAGATACATAAATCCCTGAATGTGCTGCCATATTTTAGTTCACGCGAGTGGACATTCGACGAAAACAATTTTATGAATTTGTGGTTAAAAATGGGTGACACAGATAGAAGGATGTTTCCGTTTCATTCCAAAACAATACCCTGGCATCAGTACTTATTCGATTGTGCTTTAGGTATAAGGCTTTACTTATTACAAGATCCAATTAGTACTCTCCCCGAAGGAAAAGCAAAACTTAAAAAACTACGTGGTCTTCATTACGCATTTGTTGGATTTATTATAGGTATTATGTTCCTTACGTATTTGTCGTACCTTTGCTAGGAAGATTATTTTAATGTTACAACAATGAATTTTCCTTAAGTTATATGTTATTATGTACCTCTGTGGTTGAAAATATATTTGAAAGTCGTGGGTGTCCTTACTTAGTAATTAAAAAGCAAACGCTACAAAGTTTTGTTGTATACAATAGTGGTAATCGTAAAATGCTCCTTTGAATCGGACATGATTCTACGACAACTGGTTGCAAACAACTGATCGCAGCACAATTGGTCGCACGCGACAATTGATCGCACGTGAATTTATCGCAGCGTCAATTGATCGCCACTTAAAATTCATCGGGAAGTATTTTCTTTTATTAAAACTAAATATTTTGTATTCTGAATTTTAAGTTGCAATAAATTTAGCAGTCAGGTAAGGTGTAAATATCGAATTAAAAACAATTTGAATATAGTTTGAGTTGCACTTTAAAAATTAAAAAATACTAGGGTAAACACCTTGTTACATAAGATTTTTTATTAATAAATTATCATTTTGGTTATTTTTTTAAAGAGATTGTTGCTATTTATGTCGTTGCTTATTTTAGCTATTATACAGGCTGTTATTGAAAGGTACGTACAACAAAATGGACAGTTCTTCGCGAAGTCTAAGAAGTCAGAAAAACTTATTTTGTGTTATCAAAATTATAAGGGGAAAACTAACCCTTATCCAACCTTTTTAGACGCTACTGAAGGTTAAATAGGTAAAATTAATTTATTTTAGTAAATCCTAGCAACTGTAACAATAAAACTTTTGTCAAGACTAAATGTTACTATAGAAACGAAACATGATCTTTTTATCAGAGGCGTACAAGGAATTTGGACATAAATTTTAATAATTTTTATCTCTAAAAGGAAAACACTTTTACTTGAACTTTTTTTAACTTTTAGCACCTATACTTCGAGACCAGTTGCCGATTTTATTTTGTACGTACCTTTCAATAACAGGCTGTATTATATAGGAACTAGCTTCATTATACTAAGTACTCAACATAAAAAAGTGATTATTTTTCTCCACTAGATTTATTATGCAATTATTTAAAAAATCATATTTTCAACAACCTTTAAATTTTAACACATTTTGATACAGTCTATTGATATTGTCTATTCTTGTCTTTATACATATCACCAAACAATAAAATTTATGAAGTAATAGTACATCTAGAGTATCCATATGTAGCGAATGTAAATTCCACTGGACGGATATAATACTGTTACGATTGACAGGCGAATAATTAATCGGGCGTAGGTAAAAACTCAACAATTTATTTCTTTAACTGGTATTTACACGACAAACTGCGATTACGTACAAAACAACTTTGCAACTTAAATGCACTCCACTCTTGACCGAATAATGGATGAATCATTTCCGAAGATGGCGAGATACAGACGAAAATAAGAGGAATAGCAGCAGCAGAAAAAGGGAAAGGAGTCGAGGCAAAAGTAGGGTACAAAAAGATGATATGGGCAGGAGAAGTCTGGCATTGGGACACTAAATTAGACAAATTAGTGAAAGCACCGTCGCACCCCAAAGAAAACCCAAAAAACTAACAGAGGAAGAAACCACACACCGGAAAACAATGACGACGTATGCAAAGCTCATGGATGACCCGATAGGAATTACGAAGAGAAAGAGAAACCCGAAAATTAGAATAGGAACATGGAATGTTCGAGGAACATATAGCGAAGGAAAACTCAAACAAATAGTCCAAGAATTACAAAGGTATAATATAGATGTAGCAGCTATACAAGAGACGAAACAAAAAGGCAAATTCATCACTGAAATAGACAACTACATATTATTTAATAGCGGAATTCATGGTGAAGAAGAGCCTGAAAGGAGCAGTAATTACCTTCAAACCAATCTCAGAAACAATGAGCTATATAAGATTGATAAGTAAGTACAGGAAAATCAGCCTACTGAATATACATGCACCGACTGAAGAGAAAGATCTAGAAGTAAAGACAGAATATTACGAAGAACTAGAAAGAGAATATGTGAAAATACCAAAGCATGACATTAAAATGGTTATAGGAGACGCCAACGCAATGATAGGTAAAGAGAATTGCTACAGGCCAACAATCGGGAAAGAAAGCAAACACCAAAAAACGAATCAAAATGGAGAAAAACTGATAGAGTTTGCAGAAGAAAATAAAATGGTAGTCAAAAGCACATTCTTTGCGCAGAACGAGATCTACAAAGGCACATGTATGTCGCCTGACGGAAAAACGGTCAACCAAATAGACCACATACTGGTAGAAAGGAGAGATGCCCAACTAATAACCAGTTTAAGAAGCTACAGGGGAGCAGAAGCGAATTCAGACCACTTTCTAGTAAGAGCAGACCTCAAACAAGAAATACCGAAGAAAAATGAAGGAAAGAAGACGCAACGTGATATAAATGTAAACAAACTTAAGAAAGCTGAAGTACAACAGGAAAACGAACAAAAGATGAATGAGAGAATAAGATCAACAGAGCAAGACATACCTATAGAAGAGAGGTGGGAAGAACTACAAGAGAACATATGGAAGACCTCGGAAGAAGTACTACGGTTCGTCAAAAAACACAACAAAAATAGAAACGAATGGTTTGACGAGGAATGTAGAAAACCAGTAGAAGCGGGGAGGTCAGCCAGACAGAAATATCTAAAATCAAAAAATGAGAAGAACCAAGACACAAGAATGAAATAAGGAACTTCTACCGGGACGTGAAAAAAGAGAAAAGAGGCTATCAACCACGAGTAATATATTGTAAAGACAAGGATGGCAACCTGATAGGAGACGAACAAGCAAGAATAAAACGATGGGCAGAATACTTTGAAGAACTGCTAAACGAACAGGATACACAGCAAGATACGAACGAAAGAGTGAACGACTCGGATGACCCAGATGAAACAATAGAAATTGACGAAGGAGAGATCAGAGAAACACTAAGGCAGATGAAAAACAACAAAAGTCCTGGTAGAAACGGAATAAAGGGCGAGATGCTAAAGTACGGAGGAGAAGCAGTAGCATCAGAGATACATCGACTAGTGCTAGAATGTTGGAAGGAAGGAAAAATGCCAGAACAATGGAGTGAAGCAGTACTTTGCCCGATATTTAAAAAAGGCGATATTACGAAATGCGAAAATTATCGAGGAATAGCGCTGCTAGACGTAACGTATAAGGTAATGGGCACTTGCATCAACCGAAGACTAAAGCAGCATATGGAAAAAATAGTAGGAGAATATCAAGCAGGGTTTAGGAAAAATAGATCTACTGTAGACCAGATATTTATATTGAAGCAACTACAAGAAGTACATTACGAACAGGGAATCAACTTATATCTGCTGTTCATAAACTTTAAAGAAGCCTATGACACGGTTACCAGGAAAGAACTGTCAGAAGCCATGAAAGAACTGGGAGTCCCAAGAAAACTAATAAAACTGACAAAGATGACCCTGCAGAGCACCAGAAACAGAGTCAGGATAAATGGTCTGTTGTCAGAACCATTCCAAGTAAGAACAGGACTCCGGCAAGGAGATCCAATATCAACTACCTTGTTCTTCAATCTAGTACTCGAAGTAATAATAAGGAGAAATGGCATCCACACGAAAAAAGACACCAAAATATAGCCTTTGCAGATGACGTGACATGTATAACGAGAACAGAAGCAGAAATGAAGAAAATGACAAAAAATCTAATCAGAGAAGCGAAACGAATGGGTTTAGCGATCAACCAAGAGAAAACGAAGTTTATGAAGATGGAAACAAAACAAACCCCAGCAAAGCCACTGAAAGTAACTACAGAAGAAGGAACAACATACGAATTCGAAGAAGTAAATAGGTTCAAATATCTAGGAGTAGTAATTACAAACAAAAACGAAATGAACGAAGAGATAGAAGAACGGATTTCGAAAGCAAACAAGAGTGTAGGAAGATTAAACAGATTTCTGAGGAGTAAGAATGTAACACGACGAACAAAGAAACAAGTATATAAGACAATAGTAAGACCTACAGTCCTGTACGCTAGTGAAACATGGACGCTAACGAACGAAAAGGAACAGAAGTTGGAAGTATGGGAACGCAAGATACTACGAAAGATATATGGAGGTATAAAAGAACTAGACCAATGGAGAAGAAGAACAAACCGAGAGATCGAGGAAATATACGGAGAACCAACAATCACGAAGATAATCAGAGCACAGAGACTAAGATGGCTAGGCCACGTCGGAAGAACACCAGAGGAAAGGACAATTGGGAAAGTATTAGACCGCCTAAAAGGAGGAAAGAAAAAGAGAGGAAGGCCAAAACTGAAATGGATAGACGATGTTCGAAAAGATCTTCAAAATTTAGGCATTGAAGATTGGAGATCCAAAGCAGCCGACAGGAACAAATGGAAAATTATTGTAAAAAAAGTCCAGGGCCTTTAAGGCCTGCAGAGCTGAATTATATACAGGGTGCCGCATCCAAGTCTGGATATAGGGAATTAACATGGGAATTGTATATTTTTCAAATCGTTGCATCGCGCTCATTCACTGTAAAAAGGTTTTAAAATCCTATTTTGAAATTCGCGCCCGATCCGAATTGTCGCGAAGTGTTCCGTCGTACTGTCGAAGTTCGGCGATCGCGTCTTTTCATTACCCATGCAAAATTCAAATGTCAAAGTGAAATTAGAAATTATTCTCATCAGAAATCAACGAACAAGTCAAACTGAATTATTTTATCCAGTGTGATGATTATTGTAGGACAAATTAAACGGAATAAATGCACAAATTGACCCATTCATTCGTCATAGTGCGCGACCCCGTCAAAGGAGCCATCTCGAACTACAATCAGACCGTATCCAAAAAGCCCAAGATGAAGACTTCGAGCAGCTGGTCTTCCTCAAAACCCCATCAAAGCCCATCGGCAGCATTGTGACATTTTCTGGGAGCCCTCAAGCTAGGAATGTACTCGGGCTGCCTCACTCAGTAATCACTGAACGACTCAAATTGAATTATTTTATCCAATATGACGATTATTGTAGGTCAATTTAAACGGAATAAATGCACAAACTGCACAAAATATTTTATTAGGTTATGTTGC